TGGACAAAAATAGGCTTAAGGTGGACTTTGAGAAAGTCCAAACAATCCAAAAATGGGAATGATCATTGAGCATATATGAGTTAAGGGCATTTTCGGGGTCATGCAACTACTATCAAAAATTCATTAAACATTATACTAGAATTGCTCTACACTTAATAAACCAAAGAAGAACAAAACCAAATGGGAAAAAAGCAAATGGTATAGATAACAAAATGTGAAGTAATATTCATTAAAATCAAAGGAAAGTTAAAGAAGGTTTTTATGTTAGTATTACCAAATTTTAGTAAGGACTTTGAGGTAGAAACGAATGCTTTGAACTTTGCACTGGATGCAGTCTTGAAGCAAAACAATTATCCAATGGCATTCTTCTCAAAGAAGTTAGATAAGGCTTAGCAAAAGTGGTTTGCCCATGAAAAAGAACTGTTTGCAGTGGTTAAGGTGCTCAAGAAGTGGCAACATTACATTGGGAGACATTTCAAGGTATACATAGATAATGTGGCAATAAAACACTTTTTGTCACAATCTAAATTTCGAGGGAAATAGGGTCGGTGGACTAATATTTTAGCCAAGTTCAATTGTGAGATACATTCAACACAACAACAACCTTTTGGTATAATATGCAGATAATATATAAGAACGATGGTATAGCACAAGAAGTGTCGTTAAGGAACCAAGAAACGTGGGATACTCACTAGAAAGACGAGCTGTCTAAAGAAAGAAAATTGGGCAATGGATTCATTTATTATAAGTAAACAAGGGTGTATATCCCATGAGGGGAACTAAAGAGAGTAACTTACCCCTCACTTAGGGAAGTTTTATAATAAAGTCCATTGTAAGATATTTCTATGGATGATCTAGGATTATAAGGCTTTACAATAAACCCCAATTATAACCTTCACCTACTGACATATCTTTACATTGTATTAAACGTCCTTAGCCATATCTATTGATGCGATATTTATGGTGGTAGATTGGTATACCCATCACAATGGACATTGATGCAGAAGATGTGGCAAAGTTGCTCTTTAAACAAGTGGTTTGAGGATGTGGAAGGCCGAAAGAAATTATCTCAGATCAAAATAAGATTTTCACTAGCAAGTTCTAAAGAACCCTCTTAGAGTAGTATTGCATTAAACTGAAATTTAATACAACCTTGTGAGACAGAAATCCCTAAGCCCCAAAGTGGAGTAAAAAGGGTGCCACATGGTAGTGGTCAAAACAGAAGCCCAACAAATGTAACATGTTTGGATCAAAGGCTCCGACTTGGAAAGTCGAGAGTGGGAGTGGAACTCTAAACAAAGGACTCGAGGAATGAGCATGAAGCAATTGGTGAATGAGTTTTTAAAAAGGGACACAAGAAGGACTAACACATGGCAAGTGTCATGACAAATGAAAGTATCAGAAATGAGTTTGAAAAGGAGTCTAAGATGGAGTCTAAGAAGGAATCTGAGATGGAGTCCGAGAAAGAATCCAAGATGGAGTCCGAGATGGAGTTTGATATGGACTCGAGATGGAGTCCAATATGGACCTAAGATGGAGTCTGATATGGATTTGAGCTAGCCCGAGATGGAATTTAAGATGGACCTGAGATGGAGTTCGAGATGGATCTAGGATGGAGTCTGAGATAGACCCGAGATGGAGTCCGAGATGGACCTGAGATGGAGTCCAAGATGGACCCGAGATAGAGTCTGAGATGGACCCAAGATGGTATCCGAGATAGACCTAAGATGGAGTCTGAGATTGAGTCTGAGATGGACTTGAGCTGGAGTTTGAGGTCGAGGCCAAGAAAGATACTAAGACCAAGATCGAGAATTGAGTCTGAGTTCAAGTTTGAGTCTATGTCCGAGGGTGAACCAAAGCGATTGTCTCCTAGACCCTGAGGGGTTTGGGGAGCTCCAAAAGTATACTAGAGGGAAGACTCTAGTGGAGCCAGTTTGGCCAGAAAATGCTAGTGTGACCAAGGAAGGTTATACCCACGTAGTGGGTGATGATATAACTATTAAGGAGTTCAAGGCTAGAGTGAATACGAATGGATAAGTGGAGTAACTTAGTGAAGTGTTCAAGAGCTGACTTTATCTCCCCCAAGAGATTGAATGGTTGATACTCCCAATCCAAGTGTGGGTGGCACTACTCTAGTGGAGCCAATTTGGCTAGGAAATGCCAGTATGACCAAGGAAGGTTATACCCACATAGTGGATGATGATATAACCATTAAGGAGTTCAAGGCTAGAGTGAATATGGATGGATAAGTGGAGTAACTTAATGAAGTGTTTAAGAGCCGACTTTATCTCCCCCAGGAGATTGAATGGTCAATACTCCTAATCCAAGTGTGGGTGGCACTACTCACTTGGATATCTAGCGTGGTTGATTAGAACCTTGCTTTAGCCATATGGCTAGGGCACCCAAAGGGAAAAGGTGAGGAAAGTACCGACTGTTAGGAAACCCTCTTCCTCCCACCAGGTTCCTTGCCATTACCAATTCCCAAGCCATTATTCCAGCCATTATCTTAGCTATTACCCAATGGCTTCCTTTGAGATTGATTCTTATTCTTTGGGTGGTCCATGCAGCTTGGGCAACATAAAACCATCAATTAGAAGCTTGGAACCAATGGTCCTTATTCTTCCATTTGCATTATAAAGGTTTAATAGCTACTGTATAAAATCGTTCACAATCAACATCAGTCTTGGGGCTAATTGTCGTTTGTTTCTTTTTTTTGGGTCCTTTCCTTTTCATTCCATGGCCAATTCATGCTTCTTCATCAAGGTGAGTTTTCCTTCCAAATTCACTAGGAAGCGAGTTGAGTTATAGAGCTTCCTTAACAAGATGGATTTCATCTTCAAGATACAACCTTGGCACCACTCAACGATGGAGTTTTAGATTAGTGCCATTGGCACTCTCCTTGATGGTCCTACTCTCTCATGGTTCTCCCCACTCTTGAAGAAGGATCTCAGGGGTACCACTGTTCTAGACTGCATGACCTCAAGCTCTTCAAGGAGAAGCTCACTACTTGCTTCAATGACACTAATCAAGTTTGTTTTGCAACCATCAAAATGCAATGACTTTCACAAGGCTCTCATCTCGCCTCTGTCTATGCCACTGATTTTCAACTCCTCATCCTTGACACATTGTGGGATGATCAAGCGTTGGTGGACCAGTTCCGATTCGGCCTCTGCGACAATGTCAAGGACTTGTTGATCATGATAGAAGATCCAACGGATCTCAATGATGCCATTGAGAAGGCAATAAAGTGTGACAATTGGCTATTCGAATGGCATCATGAACCACGCTGCCATTTTTCTTCTCCAACACCTTGTCCGGCCATCTAACTCCCACCTCAACACCCTTTACGGCAACTCCAATAGAGATTGACATCGGCACAATGCCTTTTACCAATCGTAAGTGCCTCTCTCCAGTTGAGTGTCAATGCTGCATGGACCTAAACCTTTGTCTCTACTATGGGGACTCGGGACACAGGGCAGTTGGATGTCCTCAGAAGCCACCCCGTCTTTTGCAAATGGAGTTGCCATCTTCGCCCGTTGAGGAGCCTGAAACATCTGTGCCGGGAAATGGGGATGTCCAATCAGAGTAGGAGCTGCCAAGTTGGATCATTGTGCAAGGAATAAAATCTCTCTTTGTTCAACATCAAGCTCCTCCACCTCCACTTCTCTTTCCATTCCATTCTTATCTGCGACCACAATCTCCATCAACTTCCACCTTTTCGTGACTCTAAGGATTCTTGGTTCCCGGTCACTAGTGCTGCATACCATAGTTCTATTGGACTCTAGAGCAACTTCATGTTTCATAGACAAATCTTTTGTCCAGTAGCACAGATTCCCATCTCAACATTTGTTTGTACGACTCAAACCATTGAAGGTATTGGAAGCCATGTTGTTTCTCCTTCAATAGGGCTTTGGGCCACAATTCCTCTCCGAGTTCAGGTGGGGGATCTTTGCACTAATGTTGCCTTTAACATTATCTCCAGCAAGCACACTGTTGTGGTTCTTGGCTCCTGTGGTTCCATCTTCACAACCTGCAAATCGATTGGGAACACTTACAGCTTGCTCCATTGCCCTCAACTCTTGCTACCGATTCGAGTTTGGGTTCTACATCCACACCAAAGGGTTGGGGTCCTACTGTACTTAGTTGTGCAGCCAGCACATCACCAGCACTTGACACTCCTTCAATAGGGACTCGTGGAACAACCATTGCCAAAGGTGCTGCCGACGACCCACAGCCCCACCGGCCATTGTTAGTGGTTGTACAACACTCTTCTCTAGATCCATTAGTAGATAAGTCATGTTTCCCACTCCATTTCTTCCCTCCATTAGCTTTTCCATCCATTGAGAAGTTGGTTCTTCTCATTTCTACTTCCCATCTAGCCGTTTCACTACCATTATCAAACCCTTGATGCATTCTTGACCTTAGCCCATGTCCTTTGTCTATTTCTACCATCACCATGAAAGAATTAGTTGACGAGTCTGAACCCCTTCAATTATTTGCTTTGATTGTTAATCCTGTTTATCATTCCATTGACTCAACTGTTTGCTTGTTGGTGAAGTATTAGGATTTCCATAATGTTTTTGACAAGAGAAAAGCTAGTGGTTTGCCTCCTCATCATCTTTATAACTGTGCTATTGAGTTATAAGAGGATGCTTAGCCCCCATGGGGACCCATCTACAATCTCTCACCATTAGAGCTGGCTGCCCTCAAGGAGTATATGGACTCTAATTTGGAATCTAGCTTCATTTGGCACTCTTAGCCACTTGCAGGGGCTCCCATTTGCTTCGTCAAAAAGAAGGATGGCACCTTGCGGCTAGTGGTTGACTACTGTGGCCTCAACAAAGTCACCATGTAGAACCAGTACCCATTGTCTTTGATCCTAGAGTTGTTGAAACGGTTGGGTGGGGCTTGGTTTTTCACCAAGATCTACCTTCAAGGAGCTTACAATCTCATTAGGATCAAGCCTAGGGACAAGTGGAAGATGGCTTTTTAAAGTTGTTATGGCCATTTCGAGTACATGGTGATGCCATTTGGTCTCACCAATGCCTCTGTTATTTTTCAACATTTGGCAAACGATATCTTTAGGGAGTTTTTGGATTAGTTTGTGGTTGTTTATTTTGATGATATTTTGGTTTTCTCTTGCACTCAGGAGGAGATGATCAGCATGTACGGCAAGTGTTGGCCAAGCTCTGGGAACACAACCTTTATGCAAAGCTTGAGAAGTGTTTCTTCAATCGGGATTCCATTGAGTATCTGGGGTATATTGTGTTTCCACAAGAGGTTGCAATGGATCCTGCAAAGGTAAAAATGATCCAAGAATGGGAGGTGCCGAAGATTGTCACTGACGTGCAGTGTTTTCTTGGTTTCACTAACTTTTACCATAAGTTCATTGACGGGTACTCTGACTTGGTGTTGCCATTAACAGCTCTGACCCACAAGGACGTGCCATTCGAGTGGTCCCCAGCTGCCTAATCGGCATTCAATTCCCTCAAGGTGGTTTTTGTTTCAACCCTGGTTCTCATCCATGCGGATCTGAGCAAGCCATTCTTTGTTGAGGCTGATGCATTTGATTTTGACTTGGCTGCAACCATTTCTCAGCTTGGTGATGATGAGGAGCTTCATCCAGTTGTGTTCCATTCTTGGAAGTTCCATGCAGTCGAGATCAACTACAGGATCCATGACAAGGAATTCCTTGCCATTATAGACTCATGTCATGAGTGGCATTGTTTCTTAGAGGGTGCTGCGCATCAGATGATCGTGTAGACAGATCATAAGAACTTAGAGTTCTTCTCTTCAGCTTACTAAGGGTTTTGAGCCATCAACAAGCATGATGGGCTCAATTCCTCTCTCAATTTGATTTGGTTATGCCGGGAAAGCAATAAGGGTTGACGAATGCTCTTTCCCATCGGTCTCCAACCTGGTGACCTAGCCTTTGATGACCAGAACCAGGTTCTTTTGGGGCCAGACGGGCTCTAGCTTTTGGCCATCTCAATGGCTCTGCTAGATCCAGCCATTACAGCGGCCATTCAGCAGGATCTCCAACTGGATGACTTTGCTTTGGTGTTTCCTCATTTTCAACTTGGTCATCCTCCTTCTTCTACCTGCACCCAGCTTGACAACTTCACCTTGTTGGATGACCTCTTGTACCATGGTGACCAGCTGTATGTTCTTGCTAGCGATGCTTGACGACTTGTTCTTCAACGGCGACATGATGATTGAGCAGCTGGCCATTATGGTGAGCATAAGACTTTTGAGTTGGTTTCTAGGGATTATTGGTGGCCTAAGATGCGGGAGTTTGTCAAGGACTTCATGGATTCCTGTGACATATGTGCCCAGAACAAGCTCCTGTGCCATTCACCATCAGGGCTGCTCCACTTGCTACCAGTGCCAATGGCTCCCTAGGAGTCCATTTCGATGGATTTCTTGACTGATCTTCCACCTTCCCATGGTTTTGATTCCATCCTTGTGGTGGTGGATCAATTCACCAAGATGGCCCATTTCTTGCCGTGCTCAAAGTCCATCACCGGCACAGCAACTGCCACCTTGGTGCTCAAGGAGGTGTTTCCAACTTCATGGCCTGCCAATGGACATTGTCATTGACAGGGGACTTTAGTTCATCTCCAATTACTAGTGCCGTTTTCTCGAGCTCATAGAGTGATAGTAAGCAGTGGCCAGTCATAGTGGAGCTCTTGTAGTACAGTGAAAGCAATGAAATTCTGTCTCTCCAAGTGCTGAGCTGATCCAAGGCATGGAAATCATGATCCAAGAGCACCATAGATTTCAATCCCCCTCTAGTTGCAAAAGTTTCCTTGCAGTATGTTCTAGATTTTCGAGAGGATCAAGTGCTCCACCAACAATAGCAGCAGCATAGGATCAAGCCAGGTGCATAGGTAAAGGGAAAATCTGAGGAGTCGAAAGGAATGGATTTCTTGAGTCTACCAGGAGTAAGACCATATGCTTGGTATATATAAGTGTCGTCCATGCAAACGTCTTGGGGGTGGCCATTATCTGGATAGAATTTGCCGTGGACCCGCAAAGTTTGAAAAAATGGTCGTTCATTCTTGCAATGGTGACACCAACCAATATCTCGTGTTTGTTTCTCGACCTTGAACTTTTTGCAAACATGGCAGTTGCAACAAACAGAGATCGCTCGAGGATTTTCAGGGATAAAGTGGCCATGTACTTATTGAAAAAACATGCATCATGAACCACTGGTAAAGATCAAGAAAGACATATCCCAAAGAAGTTTTTTCCGTATATGAATGAAATAGAGTGCAATTGTTTTTGTATGTGGTCCCAAGTTGTATCATCAAGAATTTTCAAGACAATAGTCAAGAGTGCAATGCTAAACACATTTTTATCTTTAGTTCCTCGGAGATTATAGAAAATACGACTTAGCATGTCCCTAGCAAACCATGATGATTTGAGCTCATGATAGACATGGTCCATATCACCCAGCACATGCACCTATTTTTGAAGTTCACCCAAAAAATTCAATCAGAATATTACAAATACCTTATAGGTGTTTTCAGCTTCAGGATCATCAGCAATGAATATGATGTTTATAGTGTTAGGCATTTGATCCACACCAGTGATTACTGCAGTAATTGTTGCAAAAGTATAAGCAGAAGCATCCCCTGCAAACTGATTCAATGGAACAATGTCTGATGACTTAACAAAGTCAAGCACTGGAGGAGCCTTCTCTGGCCATGCTCCAACATGTGTGGCCGTAAAAATATCTACCAAGAGACAATGGAGCCCCAAATGATATTTCAGATTCTTAACTCTAACCTTTTAGTGTTGAATATACAACTAGTGAGCTGGCTTGAAAAGGTGGCTATATTTATTAGCAGCGTTGGCTGCCATAGAAGCTGTCTCAAGGTGCATGCTATAGCTATTAGTAAAATCAATGTTAAGGAACCTTGATGTTGATGCCATTCTTGTTGAGTGGACCTCATGTTAGAAATCATAACTACCGTATCGAGATAATACATATATAAGAAGTGGCTCACCACCTAAATAAAGTTGTAAATCCACAATATGAACATATACATATTGTGTTTCCTTAGAGGAAGCAATTAGATTCCATACGTCAAAGTCTAGAATGCTATATAACTTGCGTTTAGCTAAAAAATCCCATTATTAACCCATAACTAAAAAAAAATTCTAAAATTGAGCAGTACCTCCTACAATCGCACGAGGCACTTGGCTGGAAGTCTATGTCTGAATGCCTGGATCTAGCCATAAATAAGGTTTAAAAAGCAAAAAAGCCAAGTGCCAATATCTACTAAAGGGACTTTGAAAATGTAATGGCTATTTGAAGCCTTCTTGTACACCTATTCCTCAAGATGTAAAGCATTGTATTGGAATAGACAAAGTATCTGAAGCATTAAGATGTGTAAGGCACTTAGAACCTGGAAAGAAAAGTGATTAGATTTTGCCTTATCAAGATAAACACAAACCTAGTTCACTGCTCTCTCCACCCATCTCTAAATCACCTAGAATTGGTTGTTGCTGCGAAGAAACATCATCTGGCAATGGCTGGTAATTGTAATCTATATGGTCTTGAGACCCCACATTAGAATCGCTAGCTGCCCCTGTCATTGGAGAGAGAGATCCTAAATGAAGCAATTGATTAAGTTTGGGTTAATCACAACCATTGGCCCAAAGCCTTGCTTAATTTTTGCCACATCACTGGGCATTTTTGCTCGACAGGAGAGATGACAAGTCACCATCAACACTTTGCATGCTACATATGTCACTGCTCCTTCCTCTCCAGTTTGGCCTCCTCCCATTGTTTTGCTGTGTTGTGGTGTTGGTAAATTTTCTTCTTTTCGCTGTTTTGTTGCTGTTCTTCCTACCATATGTGTTGCGGGAATCTGTGACTTAGTGCTGTTGGGGAGAGCCAGGACTGTAAATCCCTGTTTTGTAAGATTTTGTATACTTGGCTGTCTATGTGTTGTCGGCAGATTGGACATTCATCCTTTGGTCCTTTGATAACCTGGAGAACATGAAGAGAACGGTGAGCAAAGTTTAAAGTCGAGAGAGAAAAGAGAGATTTTTACCTTCAAGATACATTGCATGCAAAAAGTATGGCTGCGGTCCAGTTTGGATGGCTCTACGTAGTGCTCTAGACGAAGAACAGGAAGAAACGAAGTAAGCTTGGATTGTTACAACAATTTGCGAGAGTGGGACTTACTGAGACAAATGCAGCAAATGATGTCGTTGTGTGGCGGTGCGAGGTTGAAAACTTCGTTGAGATCCAGCCCCATCATCTTCTCTTCGGTTGACAGAGATGGAGGTTGATCATGGTGTTCTTCCGGTATGTGCGAGTTGGAAGAGCTCTTGCTGTGATGCGGGCTGGCGAATGGACTCTTGGGAAGGTTGTGTCCATTCCCATCGGTGCTGCTAGAAGTTTCCAAAGTGAGTAATCAAGTTCTATCATATGACTGTGACGTAAGCATCATCGGGAAGTGGATGAAGAGCTTCACTCTCATTGCCACCTTCGCCCTCCAGCACGTCCATGATGGCCAGAGAAGATCCAAACAAAAAAAATCCAACCTTCCAGTGTTAGCACTACTTCATTCATCCCATTCCCATGGCTGCCGCTACTGCTACCGCCACTGTTGTTATGCTCCATGATTCGTGGAGTTTCTAGGAGCCTCGGGGGAGTCCAAGCTAACATGAACTCCATTGAGGTTGGTCGTGGAAGCGGTGTTGTTTAGCTTCCTGTCTTGCTCGTTGAGCAGTAGTAATTTTGAGGTTGTCACAGCCTCCGCAGCCTCTACCTCAGCAGCACGGTCTCGGGGCGAATCTTGTAGATGCGATTGCAGATGTAGATGTTGTCAGGCTTCACGTCCAGGTGAGCAAGGCTGTGCTGAGTGAATGTGCTTCAAAGTGTTTAAGAGCTTAAATCACCTCGTCCCATTTCTTGACAGTGGAGTAAGAATGAAGATCATACAAATTCTACGCACCACCAATACCTTGATTTGATGGAACTCCTCATGGTAATGCGATGAAGAGCCAAAAGCAGAGACACATCATGTATGAGAATACCAAAGTTATGAAAGAAGAATGACAAATAACAACTTGCGATGGGGTTCTCAGGACAAAGACACCAGCGTTGACATAGTGCGTCCGATTTGGATCGCGAATCAGCAGCAGCAGTAGGGGCTCTCTTGCCTTAATGGGTTGTGGCTCGCCCGTTAACTTGATCTAACCGTTGGCAGCTATCGGATCGAGTCAAGTTCTCTGCGAGAACGTGGCTGACAGGTGCCAGGTTCTCCAGAACCCAGCTGCCAGCCGCCAAGTTCTCCAGAACCCTCTCATCCTCCAATAACGTTATTCCACGTGTCCATTAACGGTCTCACCACAACCCGTTAAGGCTGTTCCCGGGCACGTGCTCGCTCGTTCCCTCCAGAACGCACTCGCCGGGCTAATGCCCGGCTCGCCCGTTCTGGGCGGGAACGTGCTCGCCCTACCGGGAACTGCCTCGCCTCATAAACCCTAGAAAAACATACAAAACAAAACCAATTCGCTTGACAGGCCACGACACATGTCGCTGGGCCTTCCTCTCTCGCCACACGCGGCTTGGCTGCCTCCCATTGGCCGGGAGCAAACATCAGCACAATTATTCGCTAACACGTGGTTAAAGAAATAACCCCTTTACAGTTACCCCCCCATCGGACGGCCCCGATTGGCCAGATCCGGCGGCCCACAAAGTTCGGCATTTGCTCCTCTTTCACGGTTACCCCCCATCGGACGGCTGCAATTGGCTGGATCCGGTGGCCCAGAAAGTTTGGCAACTCCTCCTTATTATGATAAATACTGCTCTTTAATTGAAAGTTCAAGTTCCTGCATGAACAATCGAACCTCTTGTCTGCGACAGATCTATCACAGGCGCATCCACAGACTCCATATTGACTCACTCCACGGGCCAACCGCCCACGAAGGGTGAAGAGAGACAGAGGAGATTAGTAGTAATTGAATTGGACTGTAATCATTCCCCTGCTGCCGCCATAGTCTTGAAGGAAGATTGCTGACTCCGTGAAAGTGAGGGTGGAGAAGTAGAGCTGGAGCATGCGTGAGATCTTCGTGCAATCGCATCCTCTCCACGTCCTAGAAACAAAACCCAGGATTTCCTATGTTCGGGAAAAACCTATATCGTTTTTTCTCGGCTATGGCGGTCGCTAGCATTGGCGTCTTTGCTCCCAGGTACTCGTAGTTCTTGGGAGCTCTTCACTGACACGGTCTGAGTAGGTTCTATGGAACAAGGAAAGAATGGTGTTTCAGCAGTAGTGCTGTGATGGGCTCGAGTTTGAAACTCTCCCAGGAGCTCGGCGACTGCCCCTGTGGTCTGGCTCACAAGAGCAGCATTGTTGCAGCACTGCGCACCAGCGGGGGATTCGGAAAGCGGCCAGAGGCGAAAGCCAAGCCCAAGATTCTGTAAGCTCTCCTTAGATAGGATCTTAATCACACTCCTACACTGCGCGCCTTGTGAAGGAAGGAACTCGAGGTAAACAAGGTGGAGAGCACAGACACGTACAAGATCTTTGCTCGCAAGGTCGCAGGGGTACGTAAAGCTTCGTGACGATGAAATCTCTTGCGCGTAGATTTACGCGAGCTTGCCCAGGAGGAGGTCCAGTCGAAGTGGGAGTCGATCGGAGAGATTCTGATAGAGTCCGGAGCCAGCGTCGAGGTTGCGCTCAAGGAAAGGAAGAACTTCCTCGCAGCTGGAGTCAAGTATCAGGCAAGCGCCATACCTTGAAACGCGATGGATCACAATTTCGTGCTCCTCCCATTGTTCCAGCATCCTGTTTTGGTGATCCTGGAGAAGGGCGAGGCGGTGGAGTATGGCGTCCAACTGGCGCCTCCCAAAGACGCCAAAGACGCCAAAGAGGAGGCGACGAAAGGTGGCGATGAGAAAGAAGCTCCGGAGATCACTGTGGTGGACTTGGGTGGGAAGCAGCCCGAAGAAACAGTCCCAGCGATTCTAAGGTGACAAAAAAGCTTCGCTCTCTTTCGCTCACCTTGTGCTGGACTCTCCCTGTCTAGAGTGGACGACGGCAAATCACCAGGAAAGACGCGGAAGTTCTGACTAGCGCGTGCGAGGAGGCCAAACTCTCGCAGGCTTTACGAGCACCAGCGAATTCTGCCAATGCTGAGAATGCCACCGCGATTCAGGAGCAGATCAAGCTGCTACTAACACCATCCATCGCATAAGAAGAAAGAACAAGAAAGAAAAAGAAGCACGAATCTGGAAAGCTAGAAGACGTGCAAAGTGTAAAATTCCTCTACAGTCTCACACCCTCAAATGAAAAGAAAGTATGTCTTCCTTCCAAGGAAAAGTTACCACTATACACATATTACAGGTGGAAAAAAAGGAAAAGGAGACTCACTCGAGCTTGAGATTGTAGCAGAGGTGGCCAAGCTCCGGGCGGGAGTGCATCCACGCGGCAAACGAGGAATTGGGAGTTCTACTCGTCAGAAACGAGCGGAATGCTATGAGAAACGCGTATCTCCTGCGAGAGCACACTATAGTGTTAGCAAAAAGGGGATAGCATTCCCAAAAGTTACCTCAAAGCTTTGACACCCATGTCTTGAATGTAAGCTCGGTGCTCCTCGTCCTCTTGCTGGCAGCATTCGAGCTGCTGCTTGTAATAGAGGATGTCATCTCTCAGATTTCCAGCTTCAGAGCATCTATCACAACACCAACAGTGAGACGGGAAAAGAAAGAAGTAAACTAAACTTACCTGTCGATGATGGTATCCACTTCGGCTTTGCAAAAAGGTCCGCTTGGCAGGACTCTCACCAAGCTGAGTATGTCTCTGTAGTCCCCTTGCTTGAAAGCGCTTATATCATCGGCAGGCCTTTGTATGGGTCCATACACACAAGATGGAACCCCCGAGGAAGAAGCTGCCAAGCTAGCTTCGGCTTCGGCTTGCAGCCCCATGCAAGTGATTGCCATCGCATACGCGACACCTCCGTATCCCGTGTGAGAAATATATACATATTCGCTGCCAGATCTAGAAATAACAATCAGAAGTTAGATGACAAAGAAAGAAACATAAAAATGGAGCTCACCCGTTTAGTCTGTCCTGGATGGCATCCACATCCATTGCCAGAGCGGCCCTCTCCCTCGTCAGTGGGATTCTTTTGTAGTCGATTTTGTAGCCTTCGGCCGCAAGACCAGTATAAACCTCGGCAGGAGTTTTAACATCGTCAGACGTCAGAACTTCCCAGTACCCGATAACGTCAGACTTGTTTGTCAGTGGATTACACTCTTCTCGGTGTAAGACCACGCGGCCACCAGAGCGTTTCATCTCGGCGAGGATATCTTCCTTCAACCTGTACTCCATTTGCTCAACCTGTCAAGGGCGTAAAAAGGTTGTCAGCGACCGTAGAAAGCAAAAGAAATCACTTCCAAAACCAAGAGCAACTTATTGATCGAGATTAGTATGTGAGGAAACAATGAGAAGTGAAACACCTACCGCAGAACCTTTTATTCCAACGTGCTTTAAAGTGCTTACAGGTTGGTCAAGCTCCCGTAAAACAAATGGATTACCGTGAATATAAACCACAGCCTCCTCTCTCAAGTCGGTCACAACAGCGTGCTTTCCTTGATCAACGGCTGTGTTGAGACAAGCAAACGCTGCTTTGGCGCCTTGAGCAGTGGGTGTGGCCATGCTATATACTGGAAAGCCATCTATCTGTATAAAGCGTTAGAAGTGCTATGAAGAACTTCTATAGAATACGGACCTTACGCATATGAGGTACTCCAGGGATGTCAAAGCAGCTTGCCGCGCTCTGACCTGGGAAATGGTACATTTTGAGAATAGCCCGTTTCCCCAGAACCGAACCATTCCGGGACTTGACTATCGCTTCTAAAATCTCATCGCCCTCGCAATTCTCAGCCAATGCCCGAAATTCCACCTCCTGGATAAAACAGATTAGACGAAGAAAGGAAAAAGTAAAAAACAAAAAAAACTCACAGGAACAGCGAAAAAACGAGCCGGCCTCAACCGCATACTCCACTTCATCTGTTTGATTTCTGGTCGCTTGTTTAGCCATACCTTGAACGGCAAACGCTGGGTTTCACTGAACGCTTCACTACCGAGGTAAGAAGCAAACGCGATCATCATGCAGTACCGCTCCAGATACTCAACTCCACGATTTAGAGCTGCTCTTCGGCCAGGAGACTCCAGATTTTGTTGATTGAAGCTCTTACGGTACTGTAAAATAGCCTGACGGAGATTCTGTAGTGCTGCACACCGGTCTATAACATCATCAAGTGCCTCCCTGCATGCGACCCCGTCCTCTAGTAAGCGTGTAAGTCTTCTCACAATAGATATGTTGTCCATTACGAGTACGCTTGTCGATTTGCACCTTTCCAACTTTGCTGGCTTGAAAGTCAGGTGCTCGTCACCGGCTTCACCGTTTTCTTCTCCGCTGCTATCTGATCCACCGTCCACAGAAGATCCAGGAAGAGCGGACGGTAAACGAAAAGGCTTGCCATAATCGCAGCGGAGTTTTACTAGACAAGCGATAACAGTGCCTGTTGTTGTGCGTCCACGTCCCATCTGCAGAGTGGAGGCACGACGTAAGCATTACAGTACCACATCAAGTGAAGCCTATTTTACCTGACAGTTGAAGACGAAGACGGTCTTTTTGGGAGCAGAAACAATCTTAGACGTCAGTGTGTCGAAGTCTGAGCTCTTTGGAGCTTTTCCATCAGTAATTGGCATACGGGAATACTCGATAGAGTAGCCTTCGGAGACCAGCCGAGAGTAAACTTCGAATGGAGTCTGAACTCCTTCTGGAGTAACACTTTCCCAGCTGTCGAATATGAAACCGTCTTTCGATTCGTGGTTCACCATAATTGCACCATCATAACGTTCTGCTTCCTTGAGCACGTCTTCTTTGAGTCGAGCCTCCATCTGTTCTACTCGGTCGCGATCAATTCCCTGAGACAGAGCCAAATTAAACATATGAACACAAATACCATCGGTTAGGACTTACTGTATACTCGAGCATGTTTTTGTAAGGCCTCTCGACTTCTCGCAGAACGAATGGCTGTCCATTGATATATACGACTGGCTCCTCTCTCATGTTATGCCACAAGACGGGACGTCCTCCTTTTCCACCACCAACTCTTTCCAAGACCGCTTTGATGCCGCTAACAGTGGGATTGGCAACTCCGTAGACAGGAAAACCAGGAATTTCCCTGAAGTTTGGAGCTCCCTCCACACTTTCGGGCAGATGAGGATTATGACAGCCCGGATAGTGGTCACCCTTCAAAACTGTTTGTTTCCCAAGAACGTCTCCAGTTCTGCATGCCGCCACAGCTTCCATCCTGGATGGTCGGCCATTTTCAGCTGCCACAGGGGGTTTGTTTCTGTAGCCAAGTGCTCCCATGGGATCCCGCCGCAAGAGCCTGAAAGAAATGCTCATGAGCGAGAATGTGACTACTAAAGATACAGCAAACCTTCTCAAGATACTGTACAATTCCGGCCTAGCCTTCATCCACTGCTGAAAGCCACCAGGCTGCGTTAAGGCAGACTGATCTGTATGTATATATACAGCAAAACAGATCAGAAAGTAGTACCGCTCCAGATACTCGACAAAGTACGAGAGAGAAGACTCCCTCTTCTTTTCATCTGCTTGCCGCAAAATGCTGTTACGATATGTGTTGATGGCTTCACGCAAGTTCTGCCATGGTCTATTGTGAATAACAGCAACCTCGAAAGGAAAAATACATCTACCTGCATAGCCGAACACCTATCTATAACAGTATCAACTTGTCGTTTGCCTTCGACGCCACCCTGAAAAACAGAAAGTCTTCAGAGTCAGAATAAAAACAAAGCAAAAAAACAGTATTTCTTACCTCCAAAACCCGACAAAGGCTCCTTACAACAGTGTATTCACCTTGTCTAAACCCTTCCTCGGAATCAGGAAATTCGTCAGTTGACTCCTCTGCAGAGCCAAGTACTTCCCCGAAGGACCTCGATCTACGAATTCCTGCAAAATACTGCTGCCTCGGAATTAGTAATCTCTAGAATCTTTCTAAAATTTTTGTTTCCTCACATGATATAATCTTCCATTGTTAATGTGGACGACAAGTCAAATAGTTAACCGGATCAAAAAGACAAAAAAACGTAAAATGACACCTGCAGATCCGCTTCGCTTCAAATATACAAGAGTTGCAATGACCATTCCAGTAGTTGTACGCCCTCGACCCATTTGACAATTAAACACCAAGGCGGTGTTAATGTCCGCTTCTGCAACACGCTGCACCTGCTCGATCCAGAACAAAGAAGAATTTCAGCTTGTTCAAGGATAAAGCAACAAACCAGTAGATCGAAGTCCCGTTCTTTGGGAGATTTCTCATCAGTGATTGGCAACCGTTCATAATCCACGAAGTACGACTCATTGCACAAGCTGTCGTACACCTATTCCGAAAAAGAAAACAACTAAGTTGAAAGCAAATGCAGATGAAGACCTTCAACCTCTAGAGGTGTTAGCACCGATGCGTCAGTTATTGGTTCCCACTGGTCGATCATTTGGCCGTCAGGCATTTCATCACAAACCAGGATTTTGCAGCCAAACCTAAGGACAAAATAGCACTCACAATTTACTAAAACGAGTGAGCTAAGAAACATACCGACCAGCCTCTCGAAGAACATCCTCTTTCAGCCTGGCTTCCATTTCCTCAACACGAACTCTGTTAATTCCCTATTCAATGACAAAATCAGCTTTTAGTTCGTCAAGCAACACTACACTCACAGTATACTCGAGGTTCGTGAATGGCCTCTCGATCTCTCTCAACACAAATGGCCGACCATTTATGTAAATAACCTGAAAGTAGAGAACTTCCGTGAAGATGACGAACAGAATAAAAATCTTCTTACTGGCTCTTCACGGAGATTGTGCCAGAGCACGCGCTTGTGACCTCCATTCCGATTTGCGCCGATCAAATCGAGCACCTTGCGTATGCCATCGATCGTTGGAATAGCTACGCCAAACACGGGGAGCGAGCCAACCTGTTTGATATGTTTTGTCAGACGAAAGCTTGGGTAACTTCGTCCCGCTACAAACCTGGCGATAATTTGGAGCGCCTTGGACGTGCGGCTGTAAACGCTTGTTCTGGCAGCCTGGAAAGTGATCGCTCTTGAGAATCGTCTTCCGCCCAAGCACGGAGCCTCCTCGCGACATAATCACATGCTCCGGCTCCCGCGACGCGGCGAGCTCGCTGCTCGCCATCTCAAACCCTAAGAGTGAATCCAGTGTCGATGGAGCTTCTCCCCCTCGCGCAGCGCAAATCCTTCCCCCTTGCTCTACTGCCCCGCGCTTCCCAATGCTGATACTCTGCGAGCTCCGGGGCCCCGGCGCGGCTGGATCTCCACAGAACCCTCCCGGGGCCACTGCTTTACCAGCGAGGAGATTCATCCAGGAGCTGGAAAATCGCCGGGAAGAGCTGCGCCAATGCCTCGCGATTCACCATAGCTGCGCCATTGCTGCACCAGTCTAGAAAAATAACAATCCGCCCTAAAATACGTCTGAAATTTCTCGTGTTCCACGAGCTTGTACGAAAAATTGCGGCTGTTGGAGCTGTCCCATCTCTCTTGCTGACGTGTCGGATTTACTAGAGCACCTGGTGCGAATCGAACGTGGCATATACATCCAACTGCCGACGAAATCTCAACCGTTCGTTCAAACACACAATCCAAGTTGCCGTTGGATAAAAGAATTATTTGTAAACTTTAATTTCCACGTAGAAAGAACAAACCATCAAGTAAGCTTGATTGAGATACAAAGAACACAGCAGTAGCTATAGATCATCTAATCTAAACCACTATAGAAGAAACCAGGAAAAAAACGATGGTCAGGAAAAGGAGAAGCTCGGTCACTGGAGAAATCACTACTCCCCCTTTTGGACGAGACATATCACTGCTCCAGTTCTTCGGCCTCCTCGTCGTACTCCTCCTCGGCACTCGCGTCCTGGTATTGCTGATACTCGGACACCAGATCGTTCATGTTGCTCTCAGCCTCGGTGAACTCCATTTCGTCCATTCCCTCGCCCGTGTACCAATGCAGGAAGGCCTTCCTCCGGAACATCGCAGTGAATTGCTCGCTCACGCGCCGGAACATCTCCTGGATGGAAGTCGAGTTGCCGATGAAGGTGGACGCCATCTTGAGCCCCTTGGGAGGGATGTCACACACGCTCGACTTGACGTTGTTGGGGATCCACTCCACGAAGTAGGACGAGTTCTTGTTCTGGACGTTGATCATCTGCTCGTCAACCTCCTTGGTGCTCATCCGGCCCCGGAACATCGCCGAGGCTGTGAGGTACCTTCCGTGCCTGGGGTCCGCCGCGCACATCATGTTCTTGGCGTCCCACATTTGCTGGGTCAGCTCCGGAACGGTGAGAGCCCTGTAGAGCTGGGAGCCCCGCGAGGTAAGAGGCGCAAACCCGACCATGAAGAAGTGGAGCCGCGGGAATGGGATCAGGTTGACAGCCAGCTTCCGGAGATCGGAGTTCAGCTGTCCAGGAAACCTTAAGCAACACGTAACACCGCTCATTGTTGCAGAGATCAGATGGTTGAGGTCTCCAACTACAAACAAAAGAAACAAGGATCACCAGTAAGAACGTAGACGAGGAAGTTGAAGACGATGAACTTACATGTTGGCGTTGTCAGTTTGAGCGTGCGGAAGCAAATGTCGTAAAGAGCCTCGTTGTCCAGAACCATGCACTCGTCAGCATTTTCCACGAGCTGGTGGACGGAGAGAGTAGCATTGTATGGTTCCACAACAGTGTCTGAGACCTTTGGCGACGGGAAAACTGAGAATGTCAGCATCATTCTATCGGGGTACTCCTCGCGGATCTTGGATATCAAGAGGGTACCCATTCCCGATCCGGTACCACCACCAAGAGAGTGGCAGACTTGAAAGCCTGAGAAGAAAAACAAAGGAAAAAAAAAAAGAATTAACGCTAAGAAACCAACACTATTGACCATCTACGTTACCTTGCAAACAGTCACAACTCTCGGCCTCCTTTCGAACGACGTCGAGAACCGAATCAATAAGCTCGGCCCCTTCGGTGTAGTGACCCTTGGCCCAATTGTTGCCCGCACCCGTCTGGCCAAAGACGAAGTTGTCCGGCCTGAAAATCTGACCGAATGGCCCGGCTCTCACGCTGTCCATGGTACCCGGTTCTAGATCCATGAGAACTGCGCGTGGCACAAAGCGGCCGCCGCTGGCTTCGTTGTAGTAGACGTTGATCCTCTCCAGCTGAAGATCAGAGTCGCCATGGTATGTCCCGGTCGGATCGATACCATGCTCGTCGCAGATCACCTCCCAGAACTTGGCACCGATTTGGTTGCCGCACTGGCCGCCCTGGATGTGCAAGATTTCCCTCATCTTTGGCTGCCAGGACACACAAGAAAGAAAAAGATGAGCTCGATACACCGATATTTCGTGTCAAGATCAAGATCTAGCCCGCATTTGGCAAGAATCGCAAGAAAACACCAGGGAAAAGCACGAAACAAGAATGCGCCCAGAGAAAAAGGCGGCAATCGACAGAGAACCCCAAGGTCACGGCGCATACCTTGTCGAGCGGCGAGGCGGAGGCGCTGAATCCGACGAACCTCTCTCGCGGAGAGGAAGAAGAGCTAGGGCGCGCCGCAGCCGCTTTCTCGAGCTCACACACACAGGACCCCCCAAAAACCACTATATAGAAAGAGCAAGAGGGATTGTCTAAAAGAGAGGGAAGCCCAGTTAGCCGGATTTGGAAGAGAATTTGAAATCCGCCGGCCGGCCGGCCGGCCATATAGTTTTTCCCGCCGACGCAATTCACGGGTAGCGGCCGATCAACGGGCAAAAAGATCTCAAAAAAGTGACGGCATATGCTCTATAACGGCCATGTCCGGGGCATATTCCGGTCATGCACGATCGTGAGCTGATTCGATCATGCCAGAGCTCCCCGAGCGTATGCCCAATATGGGCATAATAACGGCCCGAAACTGGCACTTTGGCGCCCTTGGAGGGCATCTAAATTTCATAACCTCGCCATCGAGCGCTTTCACGCTTGCCCAAATATGAAGTAATCGTTCGATGAATAGTCATCGTGCTGAGCATTCGATACCTCTGGAGCTCAGATTAAGAAACGTGAAGTGAGCCCTACTCATAGTGAATAGTAATTACCTCCTCCCTGACCACTGTCCACTAAAAGCATGCAGGGAAGGAGTTGCTTCAAAGAAAGCCAAGAGATGCCCTAAAAATCTTGCAAGAGCAATAGATCTCCATGGTTTAACAAGAATTTACTGGAATTCACCAAATATGAAGACACCACATTTGCTGATCATACAAAAGAAGACTTTACATGGTTTAACCAGCTTTCACATTTTTTGCGATCAGTCGTCACACTTTATTTATCATGATAAAAGGGAAGTCCAAGTGATCCCATCTTTTTTTTCCTTAAATTTACATGTGTTATTCTTATTTAATACTGATCAATCGAATTCGTTGACCTTTACATCTAGACCACTCAAAACAGACCGTGATCAAGCTATAACCCGACCCAAACTGGTTTCTCTTTCGACCCATCGACTTTACATGGTTTAACCAGCTTTCACATTTTTTACCATTGGTCGTCACACTTTATTTATCATGATAAAAGGAAAAACTTCGATTCGAGGACCTTTACATCAAAGCTAGACCACTCAAAACAGACCACAATCATGTTATAACCCGACTCTCTCGTTCGACCCATGGATCTAAGCCACATTGATAGAGCGGGTCTCGGGCTTGGTTTCCTTCGATTTGGGGACGTTGATGGTGAGGACGCCGTTGTCCACCTTCGCGTTGATCTCTTCCACCTTGGAGTCCTCGGGCAGTCGGAACTTCCTCAAGAAGCAGCCATACGAGCGCTCCACGCGGTGCCACTTGTCCGTCTCCTGTGTGCTTTCCTTCTTGCGCTCGCCGCTGAGAACCAGCGTGTTGCCATCCTGGATCTCGATCTTGATCTCCTCCTTGCTCAGTCCTGGACAAGATCATCAACGAGAACACGATCAGGACAGATAAAGGGGAGAGGTAGAGAGAGAGAGAGAGAAGAGCAATCAAGATCGAAAGATCAATCGATGGATCAAGCGAGAACGCCAGCAAACCTAAGACATTTCCTCTCGATCTCTCGAAATATCGACTCGTTGCAAAGAAGATCAAGCGAGGAAGGGCGAAAAGAGAGGAAGAACGGGGATTGTCAAGATTTCGGAGAGAAGAATATTACCTGGAAGATCGGCCTTGATGACATGCGCATCCGGGGTCTCAACCCAATCCACGCGGGTGTTGGCGACGGCGCTGGCATCCTTGGCGAACTGGCGAGATGGACCGCTCTCGAAGATCGCCGATGGATCGAAGAAGCGATCGAGGGGGCTGTCGAAAATGCTGGTGAGATCGCCGCGCTTGAAAAAGGGAGTGAGAGCCATCGCTTTTCTTTCTTCTCTCTGTCGCAGACCCTTGCTAGAGAAACTTGCTATCACTGTGAATGCTCCACTGCGAGAAACGGGAAGAGATTTTTATACTGCCACTTGGACGCTCCTAGAAGAGCGAGGATGGTTCTGGAGAGTGCCATGGATATTCGGTATCCACTTGGCTTACCAGCCACGTGGACGGCTGGATGGAGCCAGGGCTTATGAGAAATGTTTTAGGGTTTATAGAGCTTCCGATGTGGAGGCGCTCGGATCGCGGCGCGCGGACGCTCGCATTGAGGTACTTCTGCTCGGATTCCGGCCGCCAGGTGCTGCCCGGGCAGCGTTCGCAGGAAGTTCTTGCGGTTCTCTCGCGCCCGGATTGGATCCAGGGCCTGGAATCCCTGAGGAAATCGTCGCTGCCCGAGAATGTGGTCTATGAGGTGCTGCAATCTGTCCAGGAATGGCGCAAGGCATTTGATTTCTACCGGTGGGCGGGCTCGCGGCCACACTACACGCACAGTTTCAGAAATCTTCGAACCACAGTCTCGTTTCTCTGCCGCGCGATGAGGTATCAAGAAGCGTACGAGCTTCTGATGGATGCTGCACGATTGGGGCCCGAACCAGACCAGTTTCTCTGTAGCCTGGTGATGCTGAGGCTCTCGGACAGCGGGCAAACAATCCAGGCCTTTGAGCTTCTCAAGAAAATGCGGAGCTTGGGAGTGGTTCCAGACACGAGAATGCTCAACATCATGCTCAAGGGGCTCAAGGTTGACGATGGTTTGTGGGTGCTGCGAGAGTTTTCTCACGCTGCGAGCTCCGTTTCGTGCAACATCGTCATGGACAAGCTCTCCAAGCAGACCCGGATCGACGAGGCTCGCCAGCTCCTGCTAGAGATGGAGGCCAAGGGGATCAAAGGCGATGGCTTCACTTACACTACTTTGGTCCATGGATACTGCCGGCTGGGACGACTCGACGACGCTTGCCAGGTTCTAGAGGGCATGAGCTGCACTCCCTGCGCGTCTATGTACAACGCGATCATCAAGACCCTTTGCGGAGTTCAGAGCTTCTCGCAAGCGTTTCTTTTGGTGGACGACATGGCGGAGAAAGGCTGCATTCCTACGGTGGTGACTTTCGGGATCCTGGTGGACGGGCTGTGCAAGGCCAACAGGTTGACAGATGCGTTCGAGCTCGTGGAAGTCATGGCGGAGCGGGGGTGCTTTCCAAATGCGCTGGTTTTCAATGGGATCATGGACGCGCTTTGCAAGGAGGGACGGTCAGCAGAGGCGTATGGTTACATCGAGACCATGAGATCAATGGGAGTTTCTCCGACCATCGTCACGTACAACATTTTGATCGATGGCTTCTGCAAGGAGGAGAAGCTTCACAGGGCCCTTGAGATACTCCAGGAGATGACCGGCAGAGGTCATGAGCCCAACCACGTAACTTACAATACGTTTTTGCACGGGCTGTGCAAGTATGGAAAAGTTGACGATGCTCTGGCGCTCTTTCGTGCCATGACCGAGAAGAAGATACGTCTGGACGTGTATGGATACACTACGCTGATAGACGGGCTCTGCCAGGCAGGAAAGCTGGCCGAGGCTTACAGCCTCCTGGACGAGATGGAAAACTCTGGCTGCGTTCCAAAGCCTGGCTGTTACAACGCGATACTCTCCTGGCTCTGCAAGGGCAGCAGGATAAACGAGGCTCACAAGCTCTTTAAGCGGATGACAGGCTCGGGCATCCTTCCCGACTGGTTAACGTTTGGAATGATGGTCTTCGGCTACTGTAGAGGCCACCGCATTGACGACGCTCTCCTGCTGCTCCAGCAAATGAAGAGTGCTGGGTTGGCACCACGCGAAGTCATCTACAACACTTTGATTGACGCACTCAACCGGGCAGGGAGAGTTTCCGAGGCGTACAGGCTTCTCCAGGAGATGATTTCCAGAGGATTATCACCCAACAGCAGGACTTACGCACTGATGAGGAAACAGCAGACTGACGACAGCAACTTAGTCGTGGAGCTGGATTACAGGAAAGAGTGCGAGTTCTTAAGAGCCTAAGAAGCGTCGTTACTCTCCTTGTTCAGGGCTTCCAGGTTGCTAGCATCGACAAGGTGGCCTTTCTCGTTCATCTCCTGGACCATGCTACGCGCAGAGTTTACATCTCCTGTCCTGAGAAAGAGCCTGACCAGCGAGTTGAAAATGGAGGCACTGGGAACACAGTCCTGGTCAAGCATCTGCTGGTAGACTGCAAGAGCTTTGGAAGGGACTTCCTCGGTTTCCGCAAGCTTGGCAATGAGGACATTATACGTGTAGGAGTCGCAGCTCCAACCTCTAGCTGTCATCTCCTGGAGCAACGTCAAGCCTTGCTCAGTGTCCTCGGCTCTGCAATATCCATCGATCAGGATCCTGTACGTGATTGCATCTGGAGAGCAGTAGCTGGTTTTGTTCTTGAGCTGCTGGTACACTCCCTCGGCCTTGGACATCATCCCGGCTTTGCTGAAGGCACTGAGGACCGTGTTGTACGTGATGATATCTGGGAAGCAGCCTTTGGCAGACATCTCGTCAAAGAGGCTCTCGGCTTCCTCATACATGCCATGCTTGGCATAGCCGTTGATCAACGCCGCATAAGTCACAACATTTGGCTTGCAGCCCACGGCTTGCATCTCCTGGAGTAGCAACTTGGCTTGTTTGAGGCTGCCGAATTTGGACTGGCCGTCGATCAGTGTGTTATAAGTCACCACATCGGGTACGCAGATGTTTTTTGCTTTCATCTCTATCAGCAACTGATGGGCTTGTGATAGCCTCCCTGCCTTGCAGAAGCCGCTTATCAACGTGTTGAAGAAGATGACGTCGGGCTTGCAGCAACCGCTGTCAAGCATCTTGCGGGACAGCTTCCACGCGTCGTCGACGTTTCCAGATTTGCAGAGACCATCGATCACAAAGTTGTAAGACAGTAAGTTCGGTAAGCTTCCGCTCTCGATCATTCCCAGTAAGATGTTTTTGGCTAATGGAAACTTTCCGGACCTGCAGAGAGCTCCGATGAAAGCATTGTGGGTGTACACCTCCATAACGCAACCAGCTTTCATGGCTTGCTCGTAGGCCCAGGAAGCGCTTTCGATATCTCCTGCTCGGATGAGTGCATGAATAAGAGGAGCGTAAGTTGCCGACAGCGCATAGTGCCCCGACTTCACCATGTGTTCAAGCACCTCGTCGACGGTGTCCAGGCGGTTTGCTCGCGAGAGATTGTCGAGCATGATGCTGTACGTGAGAGAGTCCGGTACGCATCCTCTTTCCAGCATTCCTTTAAACACCTGAAACGCATCGTCGATCCTGTTCGCCTTGCAGAGCCCACTTATGATGCTGCAAAAGGTGACAACGTCGGGAGGAATCCCACCGCGGTCCATTTCTTCCAGCATTTCGAGGCCCTTGTCGAGCTTTCCGGCCTTGCACAGCCCGGATATGAAGGTGTTGTAGGTGACAACGTCAGGTATGCGTCCACTCTCGATCATCTCGCTCATCAAAACCTGGGCTTCGTCCACTCTTTTGAGCCGGCACAGGCAGCTAACAACAATGTTGTATGTGTAGAGGTTGGCGACGCTCGAGTTTATCATCTCCTGGAGGAGCTCCAGTGCTTGCTCGATCTTGTCCCCGCTGCACAAGTCATGTAAGATCCCATTCACCCTCTTCGTTTCGACACTGACTTTGGCCCGCTCCATCTGCTTGAAGAGCTCCCGGACTTTGTCCCGGTCCCCGGCCGCGACGCAAGCACTGAGCAGCGCGGCGAAAACTCCAGCGTTTGGACGGAGCCCTCGATCCAGCGCCTGTGCAAGCCTCGAGAACGCCTCGCCGTGCCGCTTGTTCTTGGCGAGCATCCGGACCAGCGTACCTGTGGTGGCGGCGTCGTGCTGGAACCCCCCGCGCGTGGCTGCCCAGTCGTAGAAGGTGAGAGCTCTCTCGCAGTCCCTGGCATTTCTTAGAACGCTGCTCACGGTGGCTCTGCTCAGCGACGATCGGGAGCACTGCTCCAATGCCTCTTGGAGCCTGGTGGCGTCGGAGTTGAGAACCCAGATCAAGGCATCGGCATTGTGCGTTGATCGATTCGAGGAAAACGAGGAAGAGCAAGCTGCTACATAGCTACTGGAAGAAGAAGACGCACACGCTGCGACGGTGGGCTCTGTGTGTAGCGACGCGGCCGCCGCTGCCATCATCGCCATAGCCATAAACCCTGAACCCAAGCAAAAGAAATATCTTCCCAAACCTCCAGGTGGGCATATTCTGGTATATTACTAACCAAGAACCCTAAACCCTAAACAAGACTGTTCAAGTATATTCTTCAAATTGTAAGCATATTCTTCTTTTAAATATAAACCCTAAAGCGCGAATTTATGAATCTAAAACCCTAAACCCTTTAAGTTTCACCTCTTTCTGGGTCTGGGAGATTACTGTGAGAACGCGCGCACTCTTCTTGGCTGGGAGTTTTGAGCCTCTTTATGCAAGTGAGCGCCCCCTGTATGGTGGCATACCTCTCATCACTCCCAAAACACCCCTTGTGGAACATAAACTCGGCGATTTGCTCCACTCTCTCCAGCCGGCTAATGGGGTCGTACAAGCTCTCCCCCTCGAAAACAATGCTCCCTCCCCGGCACCCCTCCACCACCATCTCCTCCAAAACCCCAAACAGCCCCCACACCTCGTCGCCGTCCCGGCACTCGTACCGCGACGACTGGCACCGCGCCTCGCAAAACCCAAATATGCAGTCGATGTAAACCACCAGGTTACAGACCGAGCCGCGCAGGATCATCTCGCGGATCAAGCCCCGGGCCTGGTCCAGCCGCCGCCGCCGGCAGTTCCAAATGACCAGCGTCGAGTAAGTGATGTGGTTTGGCGCGAATCCATTCCGTACAAGCTCCTGGAGGACGAGCCCGGCATCGTCCATCCGGTTGGCCATGCAGAGCCCGTGGATGAGCGAGTTGTACGTCACCAGGTCGGGCTCGCAGCCGCTACGTAGCATGCGCTTGACGGTCTGGATGGCGTCGTGGGGGCGGCGCGCCTTACACAGGCCGTCGATCAGCGCGGTGTAGGTGACCACGTTTGGCGCGCAGCCGGCGTCCGCCATCTTTTGGAGGAGCGCCTGGGCGGCGTCCAGGTCGCCCGACTTACACAGGCCGTCGATGAGGGTGGTGTAAGTCACCACCGAGGCATCGTAGCCGTTGGCGGCCATGACGTGGACGAGCTCGAGCGCGTGGCGGGGCTTGCGCGCCTTGCACAGGCCGGCGATGAGGGTGTTGTAGATGGCAGCGTCGAGGCGGAAGTCGCGCGAGGCCATGTCGTCGAGGAGGGCGCGCGCGGCTTGGAGGTCCCCAGCGTTGCACAGGCCGTAGAGGAGCGACGCGTAGACTTGGGCGTCGAGAGAGCCGCCCTTGTCTTGCAGCTGCAAAAGAGAGAAACCATCAGAACGAGGAATTCGATCGAGGAACACTCCAAGCAAACAAAACCATCCAGAAACTATGATCTTCTCTGATCTATCTATCTCCATCTTTAAACTATGATCTATCTCTGATCTATCGAGAAACTATGTCTATCGAGAAACTATGTCTATCTCTATCTATCTCATCGAGAAACTATGATCTATCTCTGAGAAACTATGATCTATCTATCTATCTGATCGAGAAACTATAACTATCAATCTCTACCAAGAAGCAAAAGAGAAGCAAACACTCACCTCGTAGAAGAGCGACCACGCAGCGCTAATCTCCCCGAGCTTGCACAACGTGTGGATCAAAATGCCGTACGTAAACGCGAAGTCGGCCGGATCCACCGTCAGCTCCCGCCCGATCCTGACCGCGCGATCCACGTCCCCGGCGGCGCACAGCGCTTGGATCAGGACGCTGAGAACCTTGCCGTACGGCAGTAACCCCGCGCGCTTGATCTCGCCGCAAAACTCGCAAGCGCACTGGAGCCGCCCCGAGTCGACCAGGCCGTACAGCACGGTCGACACGGTCGTGCGGTCGGGCCGGCACCCCGCCGGGAGACCCGCCGTGAAGATCTCGTGCGCCTTGGTCGCCTGGCCGAGCTTGATGAGAGTGAGGAGTAGCGAGTTGGCGGTGTGTGGGGTGTGCTTGAATCCCAGCCCGGTTTTGCTCGAGGCCACCCAGCGGAAGAACTTGATGGCGGCGTCGGCGTCGTCTAGATTCTGGAGGACCTGGGCGATGATCCGGGACCTCGAGCGGCGCTTCTCCCAGAGGATCCTCTTGATCTTGGCGCTTCCCGGGCCGCCCGAGAGCTCCACGAGCTTGGTCACTCGCGAGGCGGTGGCAATGGTATCATTACTGCCATCGTGTTGTGTACTTCTCTCGATTGATCCTGGAAGTGATAGCTCCGCTGAACTCTCCGGGGATTCGCAATGCTCCTCCAGTTCCATGGCGCGCTCCTCCACAAAATGTGGAGCCTCGGGGTGAATCGCGATGCATGGCGGCCTCAAACTTGGAGATGGATCGCGGAGCCCTTGCTCCTGCGCCATGGGAGCTGGCTCTGGTGTTACCTCTTTCGTGCCGCATTCTTCTTCCTGGTGTGCTGTGAGCGAGGAGCTAGGGCTCACGGCGGCGGTCGAGGGAGGAAGCCAGCGCGCTGCGCTCGATCGCAGCCACTGCCGTGCCATAGCTGCCGCCGCCACCAGCGTCTTGAGTGGCTGCATTCCGCTGGAAAACCCACTGCCCGCAATCGCGAGATCCGGCCCATTTCTCTCGCCCAATGGACCAGCGCTGACCCATGACTGGCATTGACCCTCAAGAACCCTAAAAGAGAGATTTAGGGTTTAAGAGGGTCTAGGGTTGTGGAGGCGCGAGGAATGGGGACGAAGAAGAAGAAGACTCAGCTCCTCTCGGATTCTTCCGATTCTGATGAGGGCGATCATGCTGGTGCTGCAAATGCAAATGGGAAGGCTGGTAAGAAGGGATTCACTGATGAGAACAAGGCGTGGCTAAAGCCAAAGCAGCGACTCGACGATGATGAAGACGAAGAAGAGGAGGAGGACGGGGATGAAGGTTTGCTGCTGTCTAGAATCGCTTCCAAGCGCTTACATTTTTTCTTTCCTTCAGGAACCAGCGACGAGGATGATGACGAAGAGGAGGATGATGAGTTCGATGTGGAGCGTAAATCCAAGAAATTAGATGCGAAGAGGGCTCAAGAGCAAGCAGACGCTGATGCCGAGCTCCAGACGAACATCCAGGCGGAGGGGGACGAGCCGGATGATTTTAGACTTCCTACCTCGGAGGTTCGTTCTCGTGGCTTTTCTTAGAAAAAATAATTTTTTTGCGCTGTGTAGGACCTTGAAGCTGAGGCAAGCTTGCCACCTGATCTTCCCAGCGTCCAGCGAAGGATCAAAGACAGTAAGTCTGCTTTTCTATGTTGTTACACGTCGTGATTTCTTCTTCTTCTTCTCTCTCAAGTTGTCAGAGTTTTGTCAAACTTTAAGGCTCTGAGGCAAGAGGGCCGGGCTCGCAAGGATTATACCAAGCAGCTGATTGCGGATGTGGCATCGTACTATGGTTACAATGAGTTTCTTGCGGAGTATTTTATGCAGGTAGAACTTTCGCTGAGAAGTTTGTTGCTCTTGTTAAGATTTCTTCCCCCTTTGCAGATGTTTCCAGTAGCTGAAGCGGTAGAGTTTTTAGAAGCGAATGAGACGCCCCGACCATTGTCTCTTCGGACCAACACCCTGAAGGTACCTACATGCAGTATCGGCTCGGCATCTTATCTTCGTGTTTTAGACAAGGCGGCGAGATTTGGCCGGAGTTCTCATCAATAGAGGCGTGAATTTGGATCCAATCGGAAAATGGTCTAAGGTGAAGTGAAATGGTGCCTTTATCTGTGGTGTTTGACGCTGAGTTCGCAGGTTGGTCTTGTAGTATACGACTCTCAAGTTCCCGTGGGAGCAACACCTGAGTACATGGCTGGTCACTATATGGTAGGGAAATATATAGTTTTGCCTCCAGTTACAGAATGCTGTGCTTGTTTGCAGCTTCAAAGTGCAAGCTCCTTTCTTCCGGTGATGGCCTTGGCACCTCAAGAAAAAGAACGGATAGTTGACGTCGCGTAAGATTCTAGTTTCTTTTGTTCGGCGTTAAACTTCAGCTTGGTGTTCTTAGTGCCGCTCCGGGAGGGAAGACAACTTACATAGCTGCGCTGATGAAAAATACAGGTAATCCTGTCACTTCATGTCCATGTAACGAGTTACTGGTCTTTGTCAGGTTTAATATATGCAAATGAGTTAAAGGTACAAAGGTTGAAGTCTCTTACGGCCAACATTTATCGAATGGGTGTGACTAACTCAGTTGTGTGCAATTATGACGGGCGCGAGGTTCGCTAAAAAACAAATTTTGCATTAGTTTTCTTGAACTGAGTTAAGGTGCTTTAGTTGCCAAAAGTCCTTGGGCGAAACTCCGTTGATCGTGTGTTACTGGATGCTCCTTGCAGCGGGACTGGAGTAAGTTCTCGTTTTTTCAGTTTTGGCCACTCTTACAAGTTACTTTCTATTCTAGATAGTGGGAAAAGACCAATCTGTGAAGCTTACAAAATCTTTAGAGGACATACAGCGGTGTGCCTTTTTGCAAAAGGTAACTCTCGTCTTTCTGCTTTGCGCTTACTCGAAATCTTCTATCTTGCAGGAGTTAATCCTAGCAGCCATAGACCTTGTTGATGCGAATTCTAGCAGCGGTGGATATCTTGTGTACTCAACTTGCTCCGTTACGGTTGCAGAGGCAAGCATTTCACTGCCATGAATGTGTCTCTAATCAGCTAATAATTTTGTGACCAGAACGAAGCTGTAGTGGACTACGCATTAAAAAAGCGACATGTCAAGGTTGTCCCGAGTGGACTCGAGTTTGGCAAGGAAGGGTATGAATCTTTCTTCTTTTTTTTTGTGACGTCCTTTCACCAACATTCTCTTTTTTGTAGATTTATTCGTTTTAGAGAAAAACGTTTTCATCCGTCACTGGCCAACACTAGACGCTTTTATCCTCACGTACACAACATGGATGGCTTTTTTGTGGCTAAGGTGAAAGAAAGCTTTAATCGTTTTGCTTGCACTTAGACGCTATCTTCTGTTTCGTTTTATTCCAGTTAAAGAAGCTGAGCAACAAAATTCCAGAGGCCAACAAGGAAACCGACGAAGCCGAGGTTGAAAACGTCCAAGAGTTGGAGCAAAAGCCCGCTATTACTCTTGCTCCAAAAGATGCATCTCCAGCCAAACAGAACGGCGTGGAGAAGCCACAAGGCAAGAAGAGGAAGCGGCTTCTAAGGCGGGACTTGAAAAACCTGCCCTCCAAAGAAGAAATATCCCGTGCAAGGTCTGTTGCCATTCCTCAAGACTTACATCCATCCGTCGTAATGTTACTTCTTTGTTTGCCTTTGCAGAGAAGAGAAGAGAGCAACAGCAAGAAAAACAACGAAGCCAAAGTCAGCTGCGAAGTAAGATCGAATTTTTCTTTTTGTATTCTATACTTTCGAGCTTACAAAATAATCTTGTTAACAAAGTATCAAAATTTTAAATGGAGCTCTCACTTGTTCTCTGTACAGACCGTGTCAAAGAAAAAACTCCTCTTCTAAACCACCACTCCCTGGATCCAAAACAAGTGTTCCATCAGCCAAGAAGAGAAAAAAAAACTTTGAGACACCACTCAGCCAGGCTTTGGATCCTTGACCATCCACATCAACGAGGAAGGAGGAGGAGTGATGCTATCGCAGAAGCTCCTGTTGCTCGCCTTGTCTAGCAACTTTCGCTTGATCTGCCGGAGCGAGCTTGGCATCACTACTCCTCCATTCCCGGATGGACAATCTCTCCACGGCGTGGTGCTGCTAGCGGGATTCATCACAGCTATGGACATGGAGCTCCTCACACCCTCTACTACTACCTCTTCGCGAGCTTCCTCGTGTTCTTCCCTACGTTGTTCTTGGTAGTGCTCTTGGAGCTCCAACGTTTTCGGCGGAGACTCGGGCTTCTTCACAGATTTTGGCGTCGCCACCGTCGCCTTCTTGCGTTTCCTCTCTTCCAACTTTGCCTGGAACGAACGAGATGTTAGAAAAGGAAAGAGATCATATGTGTGGACCTGTTTCATGGCTCCTTTCTTTCGCTCCTTGGCGCGAAGCACTGCGTTTTTAATGCCATTGCTGTCCATCCAACCTTCCGGCCATAGCTCCGCGAGCTGGTCGAGTGATGCGTATTGAAAAACGTTTCTTCTTTAGAAAGGAAACAGTACCTCGGCGTAGAATTTCTTGGTTGCTGCGGATTTGTGCTCGTCAATCCCCTCGACGTAGAGCTCGTAGAAATCGCTGATCCTGTCCTCGGTTGGCGCATCCCATCTGTAGCGTCCGTCGCAGGTTGCCTCTTCGCATTGGCTGTTGTCCTGAAAAAACGAAAACAATTCGCTCAAAAAGAGAGTGAGAAAAGAGTTACCTGTGCTGATTGTTGTGGAGTGATTCGAGACTTCAGCATGTCCACGATTTCCTTCTTCATTGTCTCCAGCTTAGATTGCTTCTCCTTTTGTGCCGATATTCCAAGTTCAGCCATTTCCTTTAAGTTTCTCTAGAACCACAAGGAAGGCAGCGATTTAGCTATGAAAAAAAAAATGCAGCGATCTTACCTTGAGAGATCTAATCTGCATCAAGTGTCCCATGATCTTCATCAGGACGTTGAGGAGCTCTTCCGGGCCGATCTTGCTTTGTTTTTGCTGCACAAAACCTTCAGTTCACAGCAAGCGTCGCTAAAAACTAATAAACTCTACCGCTAGCCTTGCAACTTTGGCGAGCCGTGCCTTAACCTCCTTTGGTATCCGCTTCTTGTACTCGGTTTCGTGATTCTTCTCCGTCGAGGGTGGACATCCTGTCATAGATCATCTAAGCCTCAAGCAATTCTTTCTTAAAGCTACTTACGGTCCGCCACTTCTTTCTCCAGCTCCTGAATAGCCCTGTCCAGCATCGTGAGCTTCGGCCCAGTCTTCCTTCCCGGACTCGATTCCTTCGGAGGAGTCTTCTTCACAAAACAATAGATTAGTTAAAGTCACTCATCAACCATTTTCAAAGGAAGCTCGAAAAAATCTTACGATCTCGTCGCTGGCAATGGTGGTGTTGCTGGGATCGATACACAAGCCATTGTTTCGCTCTGCTAGAGGGCCCTTGGTTGCGCAAGCCTTGATCGTTTTAGTGAAGCTCGTCTTTTTGTTGTTCGCTTGTGGAGCTTTCACTGCGTCCTCGTCGTCGCTCTTGGCCTTCTTCGACGCTGGCGGCCTCTCCTGCGCCGGCCTCTTCCTCTTCTTGTAGACTTTGAGACCAGAAGCTTCATCCAAACTCCTAGAGCAAGCACATAAACCATTTTCTATCCGCAAGGACGAACTAGCTAAGAGAGAACTTACTTCCCCTCGACAGCCCTCTTCTCCAGCGATCCCTTGTTGACGTAGAAGCCCGTGTGCTTCGTCTTGGTCCTATTCACCTCGAAGTACTCGTCCTAGACGGAGTTCCAAGCATTAGAGAAAGAACAAAGAAGTAATCTACAAGTAATACTTACCAGATCTTCGTCGTCGATGAAAGTATCCTCTGTGTCGTAATCTTCCTCCGCGGGCACGCAAGTCGTCCTATCGTCCTCGTCGCCACCTTCGTCATCCTCGGAATGCCCCTGAGACAAATCCCAAGTTCCATCTAAGTCACGAGCACTGAAAAAGAAAAAACTAACTCGACTTTTTTACTAACACATTACCTGGTAGAGCCTCTCGATCTTCTCGATCACCGCGTTCATCCGGCCATCCTTGTGCGCAGCAGCCACCTACAAATCCACGAAACTCACATAAGCTTCGCTCGAGATCATCTGAGCAGCGACCAAAACTTTGGAATCTTACAAGAACAAAGAACAAACACAAAGAAAGACGAAACAAGAAGAAAAAGCAAAGGAAAAAAAGAGGAGAAAACGCTAGGTACTACCTCTGGAGCGATTCGAGAGTCCAATCCAGGCCTGGTGGTGGCGAGGAGATTAGCACTCGTCGCAACAGCATTGGTGGGCAGGAGCTTCTGGAGCTTGCTCCAAGACACCTCCACACTCCCTCGCTCGGATTCTACGTGAAACCGTTGCCTCGCAGGGAAGCTCTCCATTTCCAGCCAGCACCGCTCGCCCATATCGTCGCAATTCGGATTGATGGGCTCCCACCTACATTGCCAGCAATCCAAAAACTCCCCAAAGATTCTCCCCCGCCCTGGAGGAGCTCTCGCCTTTAGGTCTTCCCAACTGGGCTATCCAATCAATCCTTACACTCTCTCTTCTTCCTCTCCCTTTTCCTCTCTTCCCAAGCTTTTGTGTGCTAAGATCTTCCTCTTCTCCTTCTTCCTCCTTTTCCTACAACGTATACAAAGCTTGCTTCCTCCCAATCATCTCATCACATCATCAAAATCAAAAACTAAATTTCTCTCCCCAAAACCAAGCCAAAGAGGAAGAGAAAAAAAGGAACCAACCCCACATATACCAGAAAAATCCCTTTGGTCTTCTTGGCAACCACCTGCTTGTAAAAGAGAACCACCACTCTGGCCTAAATACCACCCCACCCCATTTAATACACAGCCTTTTGCTGCTCCCTCTCCCCTCAAACCATTAGGTCACACAAACAACACCCACAAGAAATCCCTTTTTACTAAAATCTCTTTGATAGGCCAAATTAACATGCAGGCAGCAAGATACCATTGTCTGGTACTTTTGTGAGATTTCACTGGTTTTCTTTGTTTATTTTTCTATTGTTCTCTCTGTGTGTGTGGGAAAGTGGCTTACTTTGGAGCACTCAAACCTCGCATTTCCAAATGCCTTTTCAAGGCATTTGGGACGAATCTCAGGGTTATCGGCATTGTGTCTCTTCCAAGATTCTTAAAAAGGAAATTTTGCTAGCATTGACAGCGTATACTCGGACGCAAGCGATTATGGTGAAGATTACACCACGAGCTTTGGTTACTATGGCCAAACTAAACATAATACAAAGGTACCTCCGGGTGCCCTATCTGGCCAAGTTGGCAACTTTGAATATCAAAACATAACACTCACTTGGAACGAAGAGCTGCATGTAGTCCACTTTGGAAAACTTTTAACACGCCTAGTCTGCCTCGAGCAGTCCTTGCAATTACTATTTCTTGGTCTCACCTTTAGTTACCTCGACAGATAAGAATTCGGCGTGATTAACGGAAATGGTACATGGAACTACTCCTGTTCATATGGTTCTTATTATTTCCCTTTTGATTCTTCACGGCGCTCACTTTCACGAACTCTTGGGCTTCGAGGCCGGTGGAGGCGGAAGCAACTGCAAACAAATCAACTCAAAGTAAGAAAATCAGCCAAAGTGAAAAACGTTTCGACGTGAATCGGACCTGGTAGCAGGAAATCAATGAGGTGATAAAACCCAGAGCTCCAGTCACACGAGGCGTCACGGTTTTTGGAGCAAGCTGAAGAAGTCCAACCGCGACAACTATATCCAGAGAAGCCTTGACAAGGCTCAAGGTTCTCTCGTGAGATTGTTTCACAGAGACGAGTTTTTGTTCTTTCTGTCACCAGCAAATGGAGCGTTAGAATGGCATCCTACGAGTGTAAGTGATGCAAACCAGGTGCGCGTTCTCCGGGTTGCCTTGCTGTTTTAATCGCCGAATCTCCCTCTCAAGCTTTCTCCTGGAAGCCGCAAGGCGGCCGAGCTCAGACACCTGGGTTAAGGATGCGAGTAAGCACGATATCTTCCTTCACGAATTTCCAAGCTTACCTCAGCCAATGAGGTGCAAAACGATCCAGTCATCCAGCAGTACAACGATATCCTTGAGATGAGCTCCAGGCGCTCCTTGTTCTATAAGGCAGCTTACGTTAGTCCACTCAAACGAAAAAAAAGACCAACCTGATAGATGCCGGTTCGTCCAGCCCAGACGAGTTGATCCAAGAACAAAAACGTTCCAACCAAAGCGTTTTTAGCCTGCATTCTAAATCGGTGAGCACACAAAATTCTACGGCAGGAACTTTTCTTGAGAGAAAAAACCAAACCTTTCCAAGGAGAACAATTGGGAGAGGCGTCGATTTGGGAGCTGGAACAATGAGACCATGCAGCTCGTTCAAGTACTGCGGAAACAAAAATCCATCACTACCTTTGCCAAGCCATCGTAGAAGAGAATAGTTCTTCTAAGAAAGAAAAAAGAAGCTTACCTTGAGGAGGCGAAACACTTTCCTTGCCAAGCTAGTTGACTTGTCGACTTGAGACGCCGGACCTGGCTCACCATTGCTGAGAAATTTTGCTCCATACTGGATCGCTCGGCAAATTTTATCCCTGCTCTCAGCCTTGTTGAGGTACATGACCAAGAAGGCCACCTCCGCCCTCGCAACATCTAGAGACCCCATCTAATCTACAAGACACGCAGAGCGCCAGAGTAAGATCAAGAAATTTCCAAAAGATGGGGGCATTTCTCGGTGCCGAGCAGCAACCTCTCGCGAAAAATATCACCTGATGCTCCGCGCCGATCGATCGAGCCCTGGCCGCGACGCAGCGCCCTCCCTCCGCCCGCGCTCTTGCTCGCCACCGAAAAAATGCAGGGCCGAGACTAAAGTAAAAACCTATGATATATACTTATCCTTCCAAGCACGGCTTTGCTGATAGCCACGTCGAGTAAATCTTTGCCACGTGTCATACTAATCAGTGCTGCCACGCGGCCGCGCCTCATTGAGCCCTGGTTGTCGCCCAGCCAGCTAGGATTCCTCCACGTCGGCATACCCGAAATAGAGAAAACAGCTGGCATGCTCTTGGTTTATACTTCGGGATATTCGAGGTTTCAAATCAAAAAGGTGTAAAGGGTATCGAACCATGAGCGCCCACGTTTGATTGCGAAAAGCTGTAAAGCTTCCCCCCACTAGTTTTTTGTCGCGCTTTAATTTACGACTAATCGCTGTTCGTTTAGCACAAATATCACTGTCAAATCTTTGGCGAGGTCTTCGAATCCGGCACTACTCCACAATGTCGGTCTCTGGGAATAACTCATTGCTTCGCCACCATTGCTTTAGAATTATATTTCCTCCGATGGCTTGCTTGCTTGGGTAGACTCGTGGTGGGGGATATTCTTTTTTCTGTGGCGTGGTATTTTTAAGGGGCCATGGCCGCCACATAGAGAAATCATTGCGCCTCTAGGAGAAGAGACCACACACAACAACACTAAAGAAAAAAAACTTCTTGTCTTGCAGATCTAGATCTTCTAGCAGTTTCTATGCGAGAATTCTGTGCGCTTGTATTGCGATTCTAGCCAGCATTGATGTAGCATTGCTCCCAATTCGCGCGATCGCGAGCGGTTTTCTCGAGGGTGGTGATTGATCGATCGGGTGATCGAGGAGGAGAGAGGGATAATGGGATGCCCCTGTTCTAAGGCGGAAGATCCTGGAGAAGAGCCGCAGGACGAGGAGGATCTCTGCAATTACTCCGCGGCAGTGTCGCAATGCAAGCAGAGGAAGGAGCTTCTTCGCCAGGCATCACAGGCGGGGCGAGCATTCGCCAAATCTCACGCCGAGTTCCTCCAATCTCTCGCGCGAACCGGCTGCGCTCTCCAAGATTTCCTCACGGGAGAGCTCGGGATCACCGATGGGTTTCGCGTAGCGCCAGCTCCAGCTAGATCTAGCTTTGCGATCGAGTACACACCCACAGCATCCCAGAGGGTAGTTCTCGAGGACGAGTTCCTCAGTGGAATCAAGCCGCCTCCACCGCCTCCGGGCTTGCCATCTCGCTACTGGGACTTCGATTTCTTCCAGCAGGTGGAGCAATCGATCGCGGCCTGCTCGTCGAGCAAGGAGATCCACGGCGGCGACGAGGAGGAGGACACCGTGATCGAGATGGAGGGTGACGACGTGAAGATCCGGGAGATCGAGCACCATTGCAGCAATCCATCGCCGGCCACGCGAGAGAGAAGAGATTCAAACGCTTCAGTGGCGTCTCTATCGTCCGATGGACCCGGCGATCAACGGCTGGCGATCGTCCCCGCGGAGCTTCCTCTCCACGAAATAGAGAAGATCTTCCGGTATGTTTACCAAGAATTTCTTAGGGCTTCGCAGAGCGGAGCCGCTGTGGCAGGGATCCTCCAGTCCGGCAGAGGTATGGCGCCTGCATTTCTTTTCGATCCCAGCTGTGGAAGTGATCTAAGAGCTCGAAATCTCTTTGTTTCTTTGCTCATCGCAGAGCTAGGTCTAGCATTGACATGGAAGAATGGAGACCATCAAGTCACCGATTGCAACTATGGATGGAGTCAGGCGCTCACTCTCGAGCGATTGTCGGCCTGGGAGCTCAAACTTTACGAGGAAGTCAAGGTATGGATCTTTCGCAAGTTTTCTTTAGAGTTGGCTTCATAGATCTCGAGGCATAGTTTATGTCTTTCGTTAAAGAACGCACTAGTTAGTGAATTGTTTTTTTTTTTTTTTCATTTCTACTTTTTTGCTGTCGGTTTTCACCTGTAGCCACGATCAACAGTTCTTAGTTTGTCGTCTCCTGGTTTGATGAGAGAATTCTACTAACTTGTGATCACGGTAACGCAGGCGCTCAACTCAATCGATGCCGATTTCAACAAGAAGCGCAAGCTGCTGTGCAAATACGATGTCAACAGAGTTCACGATGAAACTGTTGATAGAACCAGAGCCGACGTCAAAGCCATCGAAAACCAGATGTCCGTGGCAGTCCAAGCTATGGAAGCAACCGCCGCAGCCGTCCAGAAGATCACCAATGAAGAACTTCATTACCAGCTTCTCGAGCTCGTCCAAGGGTAAGCTTTCAGCTAACCTGGTATCGAGTTTAAACTTCTTCCTCTTGCGCGTACAGGCTTGCCGATATGTGGAAAAGCATCCAAGGCTGCCATGAACGCCAGAGAGCCGCCGTTCTTGATTTGAGGCTGCCTCGAGGAGCAGCAGCAATGGAGATCAATCCCGGCCAGAGGAAGACGGCACAAAAGCTTCAGCTGGCGCTTCTGTCTTGGAGTTTCTCGCTCAACGAGTTGATCATCAAGGAGAAGGAGTACATAAGCAGCATAATGCAGTGGCTCAAGGCAAGCATCTCCAAACTCAACAAGCTCCACAGTCTGTCACGCAAGAAATCACGGGTAATGCACTTGGCCATCCCAGAGATCTACTTCTTGTGCCAGGAATGGGAGAAGTCCTTGAACGACCTGTCTAAGGAGAGCTCCGGACAAGCGATACGAAAGTTAACAATGGCAGCAAGCAAGATAGAGTGGTATCAGATGGAACAAATCAAGGCCCAGAAGCGAGTATATGGTCTAGTGAAGGATCTGGACAAGAAGGTGGCAGGCGTAAGAAACATGGAGAAGAAAGCTCTTGGTGGTAGAAAGGATGCGCCAGGCAATCTTGCTGAGAAACGAGCTTCCTTGGAGCTTTTCCGGCAGCAAGTGGATCAAGAGAAGAAGAAACTCGCAGAGCTCAACTCATCGAGAGCTTCGTTCACGCTGGGCAGTATCGAGAGTTGCTTGCCGGAGCTGTTTGGAAGTGCGAGCTCCTCGGCAAAAGTTTTGGTGAAGACACACCAGGAGCTTCATGGCCGAGCCAAGAATGGCTTAAAGCAGAGCATTGTCAAGTAACAGGTCTTGCAACATCGCCAAGAGATGAAGATGCATCACTGGGATCTAGCAAAGTATATGATCTAAAAATCTAGAGGGAGAGCATATACAGTGGAGCTGGCAAAGCACTAGTGGCTTTTCTAGAGCGGCTTTTTTAGATTTTTGTTTGACTGCTATTGATCTAATGACTTGTAATATATGGGCTTGAAAATGAAAACCATGGTGGAGGCTTTTTCAGGTTCACTGAGTTTCTCAGATGACAAAACAGTGGCCTTGTTCCAGATCGCTTGGAAGGAAAAACCACAGGCTTACGGAATTGTAACCCACGTCAAGATTAAAGGTGACGAGATTTGCATGAATTTAAAAGTAGAAACAAAATATTAGATTATATCAGAGCCACATCTGGCCATCTATAAAGCTTAGAGAACTGAATGCTTTAGCGTCCTCCTCCGTAATGGTTGTAGTCCAATTTACACGTTTCGAAGTAGAAGAACCTGGACCATAGTTTTGATACTCGGCAAAGAAAGCAGTGCTGGAACAAAGCAAAAGTAAATAAACATGATTGCTTTGTGACATTTTACCTATTAGATGAGCCATGGACATCGTTCCAGTGAGCCCAACCAATGGGATCCACCACACTCTCCATATAACAATTGATAAAAACCACGAATGCTTCATTTCCCCAAGGTCGGCCTAGTATGATCTTTCCTGTCCCTCCAATATAGCAATTGTGGAAGGAGTATCCAGAAGGGAAATCAGTGGTAGAGGATCTTCCTTGTGCTGTCAAAGAGCCACTCGTTGTAGCGTTGGAATTTGAGATGAGATTACATTTCTATAGTGCAAAGAAACAGAATGAGAAATTTAAAGAAAAAATATTGTTTACCTCGTAAAGTGACCTTCCAGAACCAAAGATGTAGTCTATGTTTCCCTCTATATATGTGTTCTGAAAAAAATGCCTACCCTCGTCATCGAAAAGAGTATCCTGACTAGAGAGAATAAAGCAGTTAGAAATCCTTGCAAAATCACCAGATAATTTCAAAGCAACTGCTTGCTTATTTATATCTCCTGGATTTGCGAATGGTGCATCATTCTAAGAAAAAATTAAAAAATTGTTATATTTGTAATAGTTATAAAACTATAATAATAAAAATTTACCTGAAAAGTGATATATTCAGCAATAAAATAGTTTGAAAGAACATCAAAAGTTGCACTTTTACCAGTACCATTAACCGAACCATGGTTTGCATTATAAACTATCACCGTATCAAATATATTTTGTGTTACACCCGCCAAATGGATAAAATCTTTAAATTTTGGTATAGTAATTTTCTCTCTGCATTTTTATTTTCATATATAGAATTATAAGAAATCAACTGTATAAATAATAAAATTACCTATAAATTCCTGGTCCAATCAAAATCAAATATCGTTGTGACGAATTATATGTAATCCAATCAATTGCAGCACTAACAGTATTAAAATTAATATCACCAGCTCTTGGATGAGCATTTGGATCATCCACTGAATAAACATGAAGCACAACTGAATTTGCATCAGCATTTAACAATGATTGATGTCTTCCTTCATATTGTTTGCTTTTGAATGCCTGATGGTTTCCCTCAACAACATATGAAACAAAACCTAAACAAAAAGCAGCAAAAGCGATTGCAACAAGCTTCACCATTCTACTAATCTGAATGCATTTTACAAAATTGGTTTCCTGTTTATATAACAATACTATTTGATATTTTTAATGTTAAGAGTAACAAGATGGTTTTATTTCTATATTTATGTTTATATTTATAACTCTTTTCTGGATGAAAACATCAATTAACACCAGAATTAACTCTTGCACAACCATTTCTGACCATTTCTTGCATCACAATTAAAATACAGAGCTTCAGAGATTATAGTTTTATAACTGCAAGCTTATCTACAGTTTTAATTTCTATTTGCCCAAGAAATCCCTCATGGGATCATCAAAGTGGACCTTCTTCATCTTGTACGCCTCCATATCCTCGGCCGTCACCTCGTCGCTGTAAGTCACATTATACTTCCTCTTGCGCTCGTCCTTCTCCTCGCGCAGCCGCTCGTCCTCCCTCTTGAGCGCCTCCTTGAGCTTCTTCCTGTCAAGCACAACGTCCTCCGCGACCTCTCCCCCCCAGCTCGCCAAGTTCTTCTCCTCAATCACCGGAGCTTTCTCCTGGACGGCCTCCTTCATCTCCATATTCGCTCGCATCAGCTCCGCCGACGCCTCCGCCGCGTCGATCCCCGCCTGGCCGGTGCAGTAGCTGTTCCTGATGAACTGCCGGCAGCACTTGTATCCCCACTGGTGATCCCTCCAGAAGGACCCCCACACCGTGGTGTGGTTGTTTATGAACACGTCCTCCTCGTACTTGCTCTTCGGGACAGCCTTCTCCTGCCCCTTGATCATCCGCCCCGCTCGATCGTACTCCACCTGTCTCTCCGTCTGTCCGAGCAGGAGCTCCGCCGGGAGCTTGTCCGTGGCCGCGGCATTCCCATACTTCTCCATTATGTCCTCCTTGAGCTGCCCCTTGAGCTTCTCCTTCTTGACTTTGAAGTCCCGGTGGAGCAGCTCCGCCTGCGATGGAGCCGCCTGGAGATGGATGTCCTGCCCCTTCTCGTAAGCCTCCCACGCGTGGATGTTGAGCTGCTTGAAGTCCTGCGCCTGGCCGCTGGCCCGGTTCTGGTTGTCGCCCATGTAGAACTTCTCGTTTGGATCGCTGTCCGGAAGGGGATCCTCTCGCATCGACCGCGTCTTGGGATCGTAGTAGGCCGAGTTCACGTCCAAGTTGAGGAGATACTTGGCAACGTCCTCCCTGATACGCAGGTTTCTCACAGTTCCAGTGCTGCCTCCTCCGGTGGTGCGCACTCGCTTCTCCACCTTTGCGAAGTCCATCTGCTTGCTCTCGTCCACCTTGGCCTCGTCCACCTCCGCCTCCTCGTCGCTGTCCGACTCGTCGCTGTCGCCAACTTTCTCTTTCTCATCCGGATTGTTTTGCTTCTGCTCCAGCTTCTTGAGCTGCTGCTCCTTCTGGTACTTGTTGCGCGCCTCGTCCTTCTGCTCCCAGTAGTTTATCACCATCGAGAACGTCTGCGGGTCGTAGCCGTTCCAGCGATCCCTCTTCCCATCGTAGTCCAGCTCGAAAGACTCCACTTTCTCGTCCGGGGCGATGTGTAAGTTGGACCACTTCGCCTGGATCTTCCGGGGCCTGTCCATGCAGCTCTTGACATCGTGCGTTATCGCACCGCAGTTCTGGCAAGCCCCCTTTCGGAATTTGGTGGCCTGGAAGACCTTTGCTCCGCGCTCGTACCAGGCCTTGGTGTAGTTAGGGTCGGATTTCCACTTACGCTGATGCTTGAGACTGGGGCGCTCCGCGTTGAGGTACCACGGCGCCGAGGACATGTACTGCGGGATGTGGGGATTGATCTCCTTCCCATCTTCGTCTACCTCTGCCGGAGCTAGCCCTGCCTTGCGCGCCTCCTCCAGCTCCATCTGCTTGCGGTGATCCTCGCGGGATTTGAAGGCCACGGACGCGGTCGCCATGGTGCAAGATCGCGCTCTCGCCGAGGAGCCCTAGAATTGAGAAACCCTAGAAATGGGGGGACAAATGTTTTGCCCTTTCGCTAAAGCATAAGCCCTAAAGGAATATGCTTGCGCTGGCGAGGCGATGGCGCTCGGCGAAGGCGCCGATCTGGCCAGCTCCTTGCACGCGCTGTAAGTGCATTTCTCTTGAGCTGGAATCGCAAATTTTTCTTTTTCTCATCATGGCTTCTCTCTTTGGCAGGGAATTTCTCATCGGCTGCGTCACAGGTCGCCGAAGATGTGCCAGTGCCACAAACATTCGAGGAAGCTATTGGAGACAAACCTCTCCTCGTAAGATCTTCCTCTCCTTTCTTGTTTCATGAGGAGCATTTCTTCTTTCGTTTTGCTTCTAGACGATCGATTTTAAAAATGCTGTCTCGTCTTCCAGGTTCGCGATTACATCAGGCAGGCCTTGTATCATCCCAAGTTTGGATACTTCTCGTCCAGGCCGGATGTTGTTGGATCTATGCGTGAGCCTCTTGACTTCAGTGGGATAAGCGGTGGTGTTTTTTTTTTCTCGAGTTCTTCTTTCTCTAGGAAAACCTTTCGTGACTAATTTCCGTCCTTTTCTCCAGGACGTTTCGCGTACAGGAAGCATATAGCCGAGCTCTACAAGCAGAATGATATGTCGTGGTTTACTCCAGTGGAACTCTTCCAGGTAAAACAATCGAAGTATCTGCATGACCTTTCTCATCGTTTCCTGTGTTTCTTTTAGCCGTGGTATGGATTTGCTGTCGCGGAGTACATTCTCCAAACCATGAATCCGCAATTTCCCCTGAAAGTAGGAAAGCTTGAAAAGAGAAAAAGCGCGAGATATCTGACAAGCTTGTTTTGTAGATTTACGAGATTGGAGGTGGAACAGGCACTTGCGCGAGCAACGTCCTGGGCTACATCAGGGAGAGGCAAGGCGACGTCTACAACACGATGCATTACACGTAAGTGTTGTGGCAGTGACCTTTGCAAGTTACTGTGCTGATTTCCATGGATTTAGATAGTTCCGTAGATGTCAGCGAGGGCCTGGCGAACAAACAGCGTCACCGTTTATGCGAAGAGGAGGAGCACGGTGACAAGTTCTCGGTGGAATGCCGCAATGCACGCGATAAATCTGGATGGGGTCTGGAAAGCTTTTGTTTTTACTTGCTTTTTAATATCTTCTTTACAGGTGAGCAGGACGAGTCGCCTTGTTACGTCGTCATGCTTGAGGTGGAGCATCTTTGCCAGTATGACCCTCTCTTTCTTGCTTACAAATCTTATTCTCGAAATCCCGGTTATGTCTGCTTCAGTTTGCTACTCGTGTTTTCATGGTTAACCCAGAGTTCTCCTGTACAGGTTTTAGACAACATGCCTCATGATCTCCTGTTCAGGGAGAGCTCCAAATCACCTTGGATGGAAACTTACGTCCAGTATGATTCTAGCGAGTAAGTTATTATCCTTTCTTCCTTTCTTCGCTGATCAGCATTTCCTCTAGATCGAGATTTGTCGAGCATCACAGACCCGTAGAAGACTCGCTGGTTTCTCGCTGCCTTGAGATTCTTGGCAAGGAACGGGATGGCGATAGTGTCGACGTCGTTCGCAAGCTAACTAAGTCAGTGAAGTCGATTTTCTCCAGGGTTCTTCCATCGCCTGAAAAGTGGTGGATACCGACTGGATGCATGGTAATGAGCTCCTTTTCTTGATGGTTTCTCCTTATCAGCTTCTCGTCTCTGGCAGGAACTCCTAGAGTCTCTTCATTACGCACGCCCCAATATGGTGATGGTGGTGTCGGACTTTAGCTTCCTTCCTGAAGTAAAAATTCCTGGACGTGGAGCTCCATTGGTTTCAAGCAAAGTAGGAGTCATTGGTTTTCAATTTTCGATTTTTGACCTTCGTTTTGTAGAAAGATGGTGTAACCACGGACTACTCGTCTTATCTCGATGCAAAGGTTTGGAAAGAATAAAATGTTTTTTTTCTTAAGGAGAGCTTGAATTCAACCACAGGGAGAAGCGGACATATTTTTCCCTACGGACTTTGATCAGCTTCTCATTCTCGACAACGAGTGCGCTATATCGCAATCGGAAGGAAAGATTGTTCCCAACAAATTTGGAGTCTACCGCGGGAGCGCAATCGTAAGTGACAACGTTGCGTCAATGCGATTTCTAACTGTTCTTGCATTTCCATCAGATGAGTTCCAGCAACTTCATGAGCCGCTTTGCGTACGTGAACCAAGTCAAGACCAAGAGTGGCTTTAATCCGTTGCTGGACGAATACAGCAACACAAAAGTCTACCTGAGTGCTCCGGTTCTTAAAGGATAGAGTGTGTCGATTTGCCAAACAGTTTTTCTCTTTTTCCATTGACAATCGCTCACGCTGAGGCTTTAGCTTTACTCGATTGCAAGCGTTGCTGCAACTTTAGAACCTGGAAGACGAGAGAAAAAAAAAGGAGTTTGATTGGAAAAGAAAACGAGAAGAACAAAGATTTTGCAATGCTCTACCTCTTCTCTTTTGGAGCCTTGTTGATCCTCTAGGCTTTTCAATGATCCGTCAAGTCTCCTCCTATGAGGAAAAGAAAAGAGAAAAGAAAAAGTGAGAAGAAAGCTCCGAGCTATGGAGGATGTGCTTGGACTGACAGTTCTCCTGTGATATACTCGATGCGCTTGTTCACGTTGGCCTTGGCTTCCACCAGGTCTTGCTTCACGAGCACTGGTCCAATGAGCTTAAACACATTGGCGTCCTCTTTGAGAAGCTCTAGTTCCTGGGAAGCATGATTCACGAGAAGAAACTTTCAAGTTCTAGAAGAGAAATGCGATTCCTAGGCACGGACCTTGATCACCATCTCATTCTCCCCTTGCTGGATCGTGTACTGCCGCCTCACTTGGTGATTCTTGCTAATGTCTGTATCGCCCGATCGGTCTTGTTAGAGCTGGAATCCCTGCAACAATCGCGATCGCGATCGCCATACCTTTCTGGATCTTGTTGAGCTCCGACGCTCGCAATTCCAGCTGCCGCTGGAGCTCCTTCACCGCGGCCGCCATGCGATTCTCTTCTCCAAGAACTCTGGAGCCCTAAAATATGTTCCCAGGATTTTAGGGTTCTTGGATCTCTTCTCTGGGCTGGAGTGCAGCGCTTCAATCCGGCTCGACGCGGATTCCATGACCGCATTATAGGTAAGCGCGCTCCAGATCTTCTCTCCCGGCGCCAAGAAGAATGGCATTGCCGCCTTCCGGGAGCCTCTGGACTGCGACGAGCAGCGTCTTCGCGTGGCAAATCCAGCAACAAACGGAATTCTGCGCGGAATTTCACGACTGGTAGCAGCAGCAAAGATCCCTCTTCTTCTCCGATCGATCGATCAGGGAAGAAGAATCAAGAACAAGAAAATATTTTCTCTCGGCCCAATGGAGGAGGTGCTGCGCGCGCCGTCCTTCCTCATTGACGACGGGCTGTGGAACAAGCTCAACACGGAGCTCCGCGCGGCGTGTCACTGGTGCACGCACCACCACACCACCACTCCAGCCGAGGCGGCCAAGCAGCTGGAGCGTGGTGAGGGCTGGCCTCGCGACTGGATCTCCAGGAAGGTGAAGAACTCCACCCGGCAATTCGGCGGCCTCTTCATCTGCCCGGCGCCCGACTGCTCGGGCCACTCCAACACCAAGGGGGAGCGCCGGAGGCGGTGGTTTTGCCGGTTTTGCATCAATCGCCACCTCAACGTGGATCTCAAGAGCTTCTTCCAGCTTGACGAGATCCAGGGGAAGTGGATCCAGATACCAAATCTCTACTGCTGGCACTGCCGAGCCAAGACCGGGGAGGCGATGTGCGTGAATTGTCCACAGAAGAACGCCAAGAGGCCCAAGCGCGCGAGGGACTCGTCCGCCACCACTGCTCTTGGGCTGCCCCGGACCTTGCTCGCGTCTCCACAGCTCGGGAATGGGATGGCCATGCTCGGAGGATCCGGGGACGTGCACTACGATGGAGTGAATGGTGATGCCAAGCAGCCGGAAGGTGTCGATGTGGATGAAAGTAGCTTCCAGGCCGAGGTTCACCCAAACTTGGCGCTCTCGCAGCCGACTCCCACCATGGCCGATCTTCGCTTCTTGGCTGGCGCTGGGCCGAGCCATCAGAGAGGTTTTTTTCCGGAAAAGGCAGGTATTGTTTCGCGACTGGATCTTGTTTCTTACTCACCTTGTTTTTTTTTTCTCCAGGCTCTCCTTGGTCGCGACGCGTTATCAGTTGTTCCAAATCTCATAGAGTTCTTGAACAACTCTACGACACCTTTTCATGCCACTTGTGAGAGCACCATCTGGTGACTTCGTGTAAGTTCTCTCCCGGTACTGATGCGGGGTTTTACTTATATCAGTGGAGGCAAGGAGGCATTTGCTGGAATCAGGCTTCCAGCAGCTGAACGAGTGTGAAGAGTGGGAGTTACAGCCAGGTGGTCGCTATTTCTTCACGCGAAATATGTCCTCGATATTTGCTTTCGCCATTGGTCGGAAGTACGCATCTTCTTCTCATCTTTGTTCCTTTTCCATTTACTAATGCATGGCTTGATGTCAATGTGCAGGTATAAACCCGGTGGTGGCTTTCATGTATTGGCTGCTCATACAGATAGTCCCTGTCCAAAGCTTAAACCAGTATCTGCGGCTACTAAAGGTGGTTTTCTACGTGTTAGAGTCCAAGCTTATGGGACTGGACTATGGAATACCTGGTTTGACAGGGATTTAAGTGTCGCCGGGCGGGTTTTACGTAGAACAAAAAATGGAGAGCTTATTCATGATCTTGTTCGTGTTCGAAGGCCAATATTGCGGATCCCGAGTTTGGCGTTTCATATGGACAGGTCTGTCTCGCCTTTCTTGACACTCTTGCTCAAACTATTTTCTCTACAGGTCAGACAGTATGAAGCAAGATTTGGAGTCCCAACTAGCTCCAGTCCTTGCTACTCAAATTGAAGCAGAACTGGCTGTTTCTTGTGACTCGGAGTCGCCGGGTGAACATGAAGGAAACCAAAGCAACGACGTCCACCACCCTCTTCTTTTGCAGGTAACTCTTTGCCCTGGCATTCAGCCAGTCACACTTTTTCAGGTGCTCGCAGACGAGCTTCACTGCGATGTCAGTGAAATCGCGGATTTTGAGCTGAGCATTTACGACACTCAGCCTGCATGCATCGGAGGTGCTCGTCAAGAGTTTGTGTTTTCGGGAAGGCTGGACAACCTGGCGTCGGCGTTCTGCGCTCTCTGGGCTCTGCTGGATACGTCTTCTGAACCGCTGTCGATGCTGGATGAGGATTACATCCGCATGGTTGCACTTTTCGACAATGGAGAGGTATTGTTTTTGTAATTTGTTTTTTCGAACTTTGACTTTACATGGGAGATTTCAGGTTGGATCAGAAGCCGTTCAAGGAGCTGGTCCACAGACCATGTTCCAGGCCATGATGAGGATATCACGATGGCTGGCTCGCGGTTCTACAAGCGAAGGCGTTGTAGAGCGAGCAATCCGACGCTCGTTTGTTGGTACGCATCATACAGAGTCTGAGGAAGGATTGTGTTTAACTTTTTGTTCTTTTCTTTTCCTTGTGTTGTGTGGCAGTATCTGCAGACATGGCTCATGCTTTGCATCCCAACAATGCCGAGAATGATGTGGAGCACAACCAGCCAAAACTCCACGACGGTCTCGTAATCAAACACAATGTAACACAGAACAATGCGACAGACGCGATCTCTGCGTTTCTGTTCAAGGAGGTCGCCAAGCGGAATTGTATTCCGACACAGGTCAGCCTCGACTCGTCCACGCTCTGTGTCTCTCATTTTTAACGCTTTCTCTTGCGCGCAGAACTATTCCGTGGTCAGTGACGTTGGATGCTGCTCGACCATCGATTCAGTGCTGGCGGCAGGATATGGCATCCGTTTGGTGGATTGCGGTCTTCCACAGCTCGCGATGCACAGGTTTGCTCCATGATTGGGAATTATATCTTTCGCGCTGGCTGACTCTCTGGGGGCTTTGCAGCGTGCGAGAGATGTGCGGCACGGAAGATATTGACGCCGCCTTCCGCCACTTCCGAGCTTTCTTCCAAGAGATCGCTTCTCTCGACGATCAGCTCCGAGTGGACGCCTGAGAAATAGCCGGCGAGACGTACCAACGTGGGACGCCATCATCATTCTCAGCTTCTTGAGAGGTAAAAAAAAACTCTTCCTCTCTCCGAAACTCCGAGCGTTTCTCTTTTTTTTTCTTTCTCGTCTTTCGTCTTTCGTCTCTCTTTTTCTCACCATAGTCGTCTTTCTCTCCACATAAGCTGTGTACTACTGATAAGCGTCACAGGTATGACATAAGCATGGCCGTTAGCTATGCGCTTGTCATGTCCTTACACGATTCTTTTCCTCTCTTTTTGCTCTCACTCCGGCCTGGCGTCCTTGTGATTCTTCCGTATGTCTACTCCTGACGCAAGACTGGACGACAAAGTGTAACGCGCAGAGACGCGACGCGAGCATTCGTCCAGCCTCTGTCGCAAGGACTCGTCCAAGCTAAGCATCTCGAGCTTGCTACAGGGATAACCGCGCAAGAGAGAGAGAGAGAGAGAGAGAGAGACCCCGTTCAAAGCTAGATCGAGAGAGTGACTTCCAAGAGAGAAACGAAACAACCAACTATGGGGAATTGTTGTCGATCATGGAATCTTGAGCTCCATGTCTCTAGACTATTGCATCACAAGCCAAGTTTAATCGAATTTATTTTGCTAGTAGACCCCTCTCTGGCTGGATGGAGGATGGAAGATGGAAACGATGGAAGTTGGAGCTTCAACATCAAACACACTGGACAGTTCCTCCTTGTACAAACAAACAACAAACCCCTTCAAAGTTGCGTATGTGAAATGATGCGTGCACGCCATGCATGGCATCATCAGCAGCCCATGATGCCATCTCAAAGGCGTGGGGTCTCTTCACTCTCTTTTCTCCTCCATTTTAGCACCACACCACACAATCTAAAAGCTATGCTGCCATTCATTCTTTCGCCCATGCCCATGCCCACCACCTTTTCTCTCTCTCGTACGGTACTGGGGGCATCTTGTCGCATATACCCCCACGCGGACGGTGCACGCTTTTATAATTTCACCATGGCCCACGTTGGCTCCAGTTATTATATGCGCGAATGCAAACAAACAATTAAGCTTCTCCAGCTTTGATCAATCTATGTGTATTCTAGAACATCCTATTCTTCTTGTAGCATCTTCGCGACGAATCTCCTGCTCGCCCCCGCAATTGCCTTGCTTGTAATCAAAGGGGCCGGTGTTTACATCAATCGCTTGGATCTGTCATGCTCAGCCGACACATTTTTCTTCTTCTTCTTCTTCTTCTTTTTCGCGAGCTTGTCATCGAGAACTCCAGAGAGGAATAAGCCCACACTACTTATAGATGGAATAATCCACCTTCGAGTAGTGTGTGCCAATCCTTCCTTTCGTCTCGTCTCTGTCAACGTCGCGCTGGAGCGGAAAAACTATATGCACAAGAGAGAATGATCGTCGAGAGTGATTATCTACGCAACGAAAGAGAGAGAGAGAGGAAAAGAAAATGCTGCTTACCCGGTTAAATAGCTCGCGGATCAATCAATCAGCAAAGAGATGATCGCCTTTAATGGAGTATGTATATAAATCCGGTGGTCTCGTGTTCTTCCTTTAGGCATTTTTCCTGGCACTCGGGTAATATCCCCCTCCTCCCCCAGCTCTCCACGAATCAACCCATTCCTCCTCCATGCTCTTTCTCTCTGACTCGAGCCTTGCTAGATTCAATGCCGCTGCTGCTGCTGCTGTCCGTTTGCGTCATTTAATCTTCTGCGAGAAGACAGAAGACGAATATTAAAAAAGTATCGTCGATCGCGAGCAAGCAATTCTTTCTCTCCCAGTCTCCCAAAGTACGAAAGACTCGAACAATTCATAGTAGAATTCATCACTCCACCTCTTCCCTCTCTTCTAGTTCTTCCCCTCTATCTAGCCATGGGAAGGCAGCCATGCTGTGAGAAAGTAGGACTTAAAAAGGGGCCATGGACTGCAGAGGAGGACAGGAAGCTCATACACTACATCACCAGCCATGGGCACGGATGCTGGCGTGCAGTTCCTAAGCTAGCTGGTAAGCAAAGAAGGCATTGCCAAGAGAAAAAGGAACAAAACCTTACCTCTTTGTAGTTGAATTGATCGATCTCTCATCTCTCACTCGACGAAATTCGCAGGACTCCTACGCTGCGGAAAGAGCTGCCGCTTGCGGTGGACGAATTATCTCCGCCCCGATCTCAAACGCGGTGTTCTCACGGAGCAAGAGGAGCAGATGATCATCGATCTGCACGCTGTCATGGGAAACAGGTACCATCTATCAGGAGAAATCCAAAAACGAGCTTTGGAAAGCATAGTCACCGGTTGGCATGAAATTTTGTGTCTCAGGTGGTCTCGCATTGCGGCACAGCTCCCCGGCCGGACGGACAACGAGATCAAAAACTACTGGAACACCAGGATCAAGAAGAAGCTCCGGCAGATGGGGATCGATCCAATGACTCATCAGGCCATCAGCAGCAGCACCGCCAGCGGCCTGAGCTGCGTCACCGAGGAGGCGTCGCAGGCGGCGTCGCCATCCTCGTCCACACCTGCGACCATCCAATTCACCAGCAGTCAGCAAGCGCAGGAGAACTTAGCGGAGACCATGATGAACCTGCTCGTCCAGGAGATGCCAGGCGCTGACACCTCCGCTCACGAGTATCTGGTCGTGCCACCCTCCTCGTCCGCTTCCTCTTCTTCTTCCTCCGGGAGTTCCTGGCAGCAACTGGCAATGCTCATGCCTCCCCCTCGCTTCCCGCAGCCAGAGGCCGCAGCACAGCTCCCGTGCTGTCTCCAAAAGCAGGAGACGGACTCCAGCGAGCAGCAGCAGCAGCAGCAGCAGCAATCCACGAGTACGACTGTTGCATGCGTGAAGCGGGAAGTGTCATCGTCGCCGTCCCTGTGGGAGATCATCAACGGCCCCAGCAGCTTCCTCGACGACGAGTCGGCCTGCTCGCCGAGTTACTTCCAGCAATGGAGCCACCCTGGTGCTGCTCAGCACCCCGTGACCGTTGCCAATGCCTCCAGTTCACATGATCCCTGGCGTTCGCACCCAGCTTTTGTTGAAAGCCAGCACCAGCCTCAAGAGGAAGGCGTCCGCTACCCACACTCTTGCCAAGAGGAGCTCCAGAGGCTGGCTGCCATCCTCGATGACATGTAAAACCGCTTCTAATTCCACCACCACTTGATTTATTTTTTTTCTGTCTTTCTTTTCTCGTCCCCGCTGCACGGCTCAGTTCGATGCTGTTTCTGTCCACAGTCGGTCGTCGATTCTGTCACCAGGCGTCGTCTTACGCACACGCCCCTGACTTGAAAGTTTGAATCTTCGACAGTGTACCCGTTGTACAATAGTCCGTGACAGGATCATCTTGAATAACGAAGCAGTAAAGCTCTCCCACCTGCGGTACAAAAAGTTCTGTTATTTACTCGCCTGGAGAATGGAGTTAACGAAAAACTTTGCTGCCAGCCTTGAAAAGAAAAGCGGTGATAAATACAAATTCACAAGTACCCAGCTCGACAGCATAAAAACCGGTACCTGATAACGTGAGTAAAATGCATGCGCTGCGCCGTGTTATGTGGACATCATGAGCTAAAAAGCTTCTTTCTTGCACTCGACTTGGAACCAGTTCAACAGCGCAGCGCTTAAAAACTCCTGCTCGTTTCCTGAACATCACGTTGGCAGAGTCAAGCCAAAAAAAGTAGGAAAAAAATTCACAGGAGCAAGTCTACTTGCGGGCTGCAATGAAAAAAGAAAAAAAAAATTTGCCGAAGTTACAATCCAACCTGGTGTGTGTAAACATGGTTAACGACTTCTTTTGGTATAATAGCTCATCAGGCAGAGGCAAAGAAACATTAAACTTGACGTAGGATGCTTACCAAATGGCGAGAATCATCTTTGACACAGAGTCATGTCCCGCGGCCTGAAGCTCTTGCTTTTTATGTTCACGCTGAGGCAATGGCAACAGAAAACCAAGAGACAAACACCTGGAACAACAAAATAGAAAATTCAGTTCTGCAAAACATTAGCTTTAATCACTTCTGTTTTTCTTGTTCCAGGACGGGATCAGCAAAATTCCTGCTTAGCCTGTGAGAAATGAATTTTTGATTTGACGAGCAATCCACTGGCGAATCCTCCTTTACAGTGGGGTCGCAGTGCGGAAGAATCGAACTGTGAAAAGAAATAAAACTCGTGCATAGCATGAAAAAAAAGGGGGAAGAATTCTCATTCTCACTTACATGCAGGTAGAATAATAATCATAAGATTTTTCCAGTTTCCTTACGAGCATCAACTCGGCAACTATTCACTTGAACGTGGTGATAGCCTAAAGAAAATACTTACAACAATACTTACTTCGTCCTACTTCATGTACCAGCAACCTCCAACTGGGTTCAAACGAATCTCCATTGCGACTGTTCCCCTGAATCAAAACGAGATCAAGAAAGAAAATTTGCGACTAGAGCTTACATGATTCAGTCAAGATCCTCTCTCGCTCCCATCCCGATCATCCTCAAAGCCAGACACCATGCATTTCCGAAGAGACTGGAAACTTCTCCACTTCGTTCTGAGCTTGCGCCACAGCGAATTGTCCTGCTCGATCTGCTACACTCTCGACCGCCAAACCCTAGACAAGCCCTAAGCCACACATTGGCGGGAAAGAGTTTAAATGGGGATTTTCGATTCAAACAAAAGCGAAGATCATTTGAGAGGAGAAACGAAGTTTTTCTTTAGTTCGATCAAGCAAGACGCTGGAAACACACACACAACACCCAACAATCGCCTGAAGTTCACGAAAACATTTACTGTGAACACAAGAACCTGGAATCTCATGTGGACATCATGAGCTGAAAAGCTTCGTTTTTGCACTCGTCTTGGAACTCGTAGCCCAATTCTACGGCACAACGCTTGAACTCTTGCTCGTCTTCCGGAGGGACCTGGATGCCGATCAAAACGTTGGCCCCAACTTGGCCCTGCAAGGCGGCGCAGCGTCAAACCCACAAAAGCACGAGCAAAGCAAAGATCAAGCTCACCTGCGCCCTGTAATGGAAGAGACTGATGTTCCAGCGTGGTGTAAACGTGTCCAGAAACTTTCTCAGCGCCCCGGGCCTCTCTGGAAATATAAATCGGTACAAGAGCTCGTCCTTGAGAATGGCACGGCCACCGATCTACAAAACAAGAGGAGCTGTATAGAAAGATCACACCTGTGAAGAAGATGCTTACCAAATGCCGGAGATGATCCTTGACAAGGTCATTCGAAGTCATGTCAATTACCATAAGACCGGCCTCTTTCAATCGCCGTTTCAAAGCCTGAAGCTCTTGCTCCTTGTGAACACCCACGCTGAGACAATGCTTGTTAGTGGCAGCCGCGAGATTGAGAGACAAATACCTGCAGAGGACAAGGGCAGTTCGCGAATCAGAATAGCGATATCGAAACTCAGTGATGTTCACAGGCCCGACCTGCAAAACGATATTAGCATCAATCAAACATAGAAAATTGAAAGACTCACTTCTTCAACGAGTCTCTTGAACGATCCAGGTATTTCCGCCATGATAATCGCAAGAACAGCCTCCTTAGAAGCACCGACGTCGGCAAGCTCCGTTACAATCCTTAGCCTGTCAAAGTTCATGTTTGCACCACTAGTAACAGCAACCACTGCTTCCTTTTTCAAACCATAGTAGTTACAGTACGCCTTGGCACCAGCAATTGCCAAAGCTCCCGCAGGTTCTAGAATGCTTCTCTTCTCTTCAAACATGTCCTAAAAACCAAAGATCCATATGTTTTCTTAGTTAGAGTTGGACTCGCAAGCATGCGATACAGCTTACCTTGATAGCAGCACAAATGGCATCACGGCTCACAAGGACAATGCCATCCACGTATTCCCTGCAAAGCCTGAATGTCTCTTCTCCAACGAGCTTTACGGCGACACCATCTGCAAAAATCCCACAGTGATCTAGCTGCACCCGAGTTCCGTGGTGGAGGGACAATGCCATGGCGTTGGCATCCGTGGGCTCAACTCCAATTATTTGGACCTGGACAGAAAGCAAAAGTTAGAACACGAACAAATAGTAGCTAAGACTGCAAATCGACTTACTTCAGGTCTTATGCGTTTCATATAGGCTGCTATACCAGCTATAAGTCCCCCTCCTCCAACTGGAACGAAAACTGCATGGAGCGGCCCTTGGTGTTGCCTAACGATCTCCATGCCGACAGTTCCCTGTCCAGCAATTATCTCTGGATTATCGAAGGGTGGAATAAAAATCCGTCCTTCCTCCAGGCTCCGTTGCTTTGCATACGCTTGAGCTTCATCGTATGAATCACCGACGAGTACAACGGTGGCACCGAGACGCTTGACTGATTGCCACTGCAACTCACAATAACGCTGTTCGATTATCTCTGAAAACGAAAGGACCTTACCTTGATTTCTGGTGTGGTGACAGGCATCGCTATGACTGCATCGCAACCAAGCCTTTGAGCGGACAATGCAACTCCTTGCGCGTGGTTTCCCGCGGAAGAGCAGATCACTCCCTGGTCACGTTGCTCTTTTGTGAGCTGGACCATCATATTGTACGCCCCCCGCAGCTTGAAAGAAAAAACCTGACGATCCAAAGTGAGTCTACCATGGAAAAGTTTTGCAAGAACTCTACCGGCTGGAGATCCTCTCGCTTGAGCAAAACCTGGACACCCAGCTTTTCGCTCAGCTTCACCGCCGGCTCCAGTGGCGACTCGATCGCCACATCATACACATTGGCCGTCAAGATCTTCGTCAAGTAGGCCATGGAATCCCTCTCGCTAGATCCACCAAGCCTCGTCTTCTCCGAAATCCCACCTACAAATCCAGCTTCGTACTGCAGCGACTCCGCCGACGCCCTGATCACCGCATTGGAATGCTCCTGCTCGATCCGCGGCCATGTAGCTACACTCCCATTGCTGCTACGATCCGCACAGCAATTGATCAGAATCGCGCGCCCCCGCGCTGATCGCGAAATCCGACCGGACGGGCAGCGCGGCGCGAGCTGGAACGCCGGCGCCGTGGCCGCCATAGCTACCTGCGAACCAAACCCTCGCTAGAAGAACCCTAGCCCAACCAATGGCGCGAAAGAAGCTTTCATTTAGAAAAGTATTTACAAAGCTCTACCATTTAAACAAAGGTCGATGTGAGTGTTAAACTTCGCATTGTCCTCCGGCTTGGTGGTGTCAAACGAAAACACTTGCGAGCAAATTGGACAGAAAGTCGATAGTGCCACTGTGACAAAACACAAGAACAAAGGAAGACCACGAAGAACAAGATGATCAATCCAAGAAGAAAGAATAGAACCAATCGAGAACTTCATACCTGGTGCTTTGCTCTCCACGGTCCTCCTCTCCCTCTCCAGCTGAGCCTTCTTCTTCCTCTCGCGATCCCTCCTCCTCTCGTAGACTTTGAGCGGCGCCACTACCAGAGCTCGCGAGTGATCTCCTGGCTCGGGATCCAAGTCGATCAAACTCGTCCCTGGATCATCTCTATAGCCGTGTGACGGTTCCCCTCTCTCCATGCGTCCCTGGAAAACCACTAGACTCCCTGGCGAGACGATCTCCCGGCTAGCTTCTAGTTTTAGATCCACCATCTCCATGTCACCTTGGTAAACTTCCAGTTCTAGACCCCCTGAAGAGACCCTGTCCCTGCTGCCTTGATAAGCTTCCAGTTCTAGACCCCCGGAAGAGATCCTGTCTTGATACACCGTCTCGTCGGCTAGATTCGAATTGCTTCGAGCATGCATTCCCGGATCGACCATCTCGTGTGTAGATTGTTTACTCGATCCGGTCTGGTGTAACTTCTCGGATATCCTTGCGTTTTCTAGCAGCCTCCTTTCTCGCCTCCTGTCGATAAGACGCTCCTCCTCTTCTTCTGGTTCCGAGGCACACCAGTTTTTCCAGCCGATTATCACGTCAGGCATCGGTTTTCCCGCGGTCTCAACATTCTGAAGTATTCTAGTGTCTTTAGGAACCAAGCTTGCTTTCCGGAGTTTTCCTTTCTTCTCCAGGCCCCGGCTTTTCCCGAAAAACGAATCCAGTCGGGGAATTTTGAAGCTTACGTGTTTATCAACGCTGTTATTCGTGCGTTTGAATGACTCCGTTGGTGGTTCCTTGACATCTACACGAGAAAAAACAGGAAATTAAACATTCATTCACAAGTTTATAGATACCTTTCGTGAGAAGATCACTGCTTTCACCGCTTTTCTTCGTCTTGCTACAATCAACGAAAGAAGTTTTAGATTCTTACTTCACAGAAAAAAGAAGAGAGAAAAAGGAAAGAAAAAAAAAATGCCTGACATGACACGAGCGCTGACAGTAGCATCCGGAAGAAATTCTTGAACGTCCTCGCACTCTCGAGACTGCAAATCGCAACAATAGAATTAGAAAACTTTCTGTGAAAGATAATGGTGTTCACTTCCGAGCAGCTCCCCTCCAAGAAAGAATGTTGGAGACGAATACCATAGCCATCCTCGGGCCTCTAAAAAACACATTTTTTTAGCAGAGTCAAGCAAGAGAAAGAGACAAAGTATCACCACCTCTTCATCTTGAAGCTCAGATTCTTTGATCTGGTCCACTTTCATCCTAAACAAATCCCCGTGATCACTGTATCAAAGAAAAGAAAAAAGCGAGGAATCACAAAGAGAAGCTAGAAGGCAGTGGCAACATACTTGTGATTCGCGTTCTCTTTAGTGACGAACAAATGCGCGTGGATCATTTCGTGGAGCAGCGTCGATTTCACCTCGCCCAAGCTTCGCGATTTTAGAATCGGCTCCGACAGCCGAATCTGGCACCTTCCTGGACCGTAGAAGCACTCTCCAGCTTCGCTGGAACGAACCGAGACTTAGGGCTTATGCTCGAGAAGAAGAAGGAAGGAAGACAAACCATCGCACCTTGTTCTCCGGGAGCTCCATTCGACGCTACACCCTGCAAGCTCGCTCGCGAAGTAGAGATCATTGTAGTAACCGAAGAGCCTGTGTACATCCGGCCGCGAATACGCAATCCTCCCCGCTCCCAGCGCTTTGGCGCCCGATCGCGGTGGCAATCGCTGTGATTTCTTCGTCATCGCGTGGAATCCAGCCCTGCGCGCAGACGCCCTACGCTACATTCTTTCCCCGCAAGAGGAAAACCGAGCGCCAAAACCCACACACACAAAACACTCACATCAATGGCGTGTCCAGCCACAGCCGCCGGATATCTCAAACCACAGCCGTCAGATCACCAAACGAATACCACGAACGGGAATGAGCCTTCATTAAAAACTATCCTTAGTATCACCCGATTTTTCGTTCTTCACGGATTTCCTCGAGCTTAGCATCGTTCTCTCGGCCTCTTTTTTTCGCTGGATCTCGAGCTTTCTCTGCCTGGTGAGCTCGGCAGTGGCTTCCAGCGCTTGCTTCCTTCGTCTCTGCCGCCTTCGATCGATATATCTCTCCATCGCGTTTGAAGGCTCCAGTTCCTCGATATCAGTCTCGTTCTCGTTCTCGCCATCTCTGCTCGTCACTGTCCATTCCACGGCCTCGATCACGTCCGAGGAAACCACCTCGATCGCGTTGTTGGTCCCGTTCTCCTCCGATTCCGAGTCCTCGGTGCTGCAAAGCTCGTTGTCTCCCTTGGCGCAAGGAACCGTCTTGCCGTCCCAGATTATGGCAACCTTGTCCGAGTCATTCGCCTCGCACTGCTCCTCCCAGGCACGCCTCACGAAACGAGGCAGCGGACGAGCTACGTCTTCGTTGGACTTTGATGAATCCAGCACCTCAAAGCGCGTCGCACCAACTTTCCTAGCGTTGCCAGCTAAAATCTGGTGCAAAAAACAGTCCTCAATGAATTTTCTCCAGCAATGCCCATAGAAAACCATACCTCGAGTTTGTAAGTTTGAAACTTTTCTTTTTTTTCTTCTTGGTTTTCTGTTTCCCCCTCTTGGTTTTCTTCCGGGTCTTGCTTTCCTAGAACCACTTTAATGCTCTCTCCTGTTCGTGGAATGTAGCCGAATGCTTCACAGACGAATCCAGAGACGGTTTCATAGTGGTGCTCCTGGAGAAAACCACGTAAAATTCTGTCACGCTGAACAAAAGAGTACTGACCTCCGGGAATTTCACTTGCAAAGCCTCGGACAGATCCTCGATTGATGTATTAGCATCAACATCAAATACACCTTCAGCTCTTTGGACTACATAGCCCGTCTTTCGTCGTATCTCTTCCTATCGTCATAAAAAGACCATTTATAAGCTTCAGAAAACATCAGCAACAAGAACAAAGCAAAACCTTGGAATCGTTTTCGTCAAAAATTTCTCCAACAATCTCCTCAACAACATCTTCCAGTGTTACAATCTGCAATAGAAGTGTATTATACTCCCGAAAAGAACTACGAAGATATGAAACGTACCCCAACGGTGCCACCATACTCGTTCAGCACAATAGCCATATGTACTTTTCTAATACGAAATTCTCTCAGCAAATTCCATACGGACATCGAATCTGTAATAATCGTTTGCTCACAAATACGCATCGAAGCAAGAGCTTACCGGGAACAAAATAAGCTGGCCTATGAGCAACCCTTGCCACCGTGATTTTCTGCAACAGCTCCGACTGCATATCGCTCGTATTAGCAATCGTAAGATAAGTGTTGAAAGTACAAACCTGCTCTACATAGTCAAGCATATCCATAGCATAAGCTATTCCTACAATGTTATCAACACGACGTTCAAACACGGGAACCCTGTAAGCAATCAGTTTCAGAACATTATCTCTGTTTCAAGGTGGAAGTACCTTGAGTACTGGTGCTTCACCCAGAAATTTCGGAATTCCATCAAAGTCGCACCCCCGTCAATGGCCACAACGTCGACTAAGGGAGTCATTACCTCCCGAACGTATGTATCTTTAATGTCCAAGACATTTTCTATCATATCCTGCATAGTAATTTTCAGTACTGTGTCCAAAGGCCATGATCTAAATTAGACCTGTTCTTCCTCTTCAATAGCACCGCTCAACTCTGCCCCTCGCAGCATAAGTTTAAGCTCTTCCTCTGTAACAAACGGCTCGCTGCGAAAAGAAAAGAAATTTTCAGTACAAAAACAGCACCTCGCACAGATTATCAAACTTACCCACTGCTTTTGAGGCCAAAAAATTTCAGCATCGCTGTGGAAAGAATGGTGACTATCCGTCCCACTGGATACAGAACCACTGACAACCATGCCACAGGACGGACCTACAAATAAAACGATGAAAGTCGATTATGTTTTTCTTCCACCAAAACTTACAATCACTTACTACAAAACGGGCGACTTCAGTGGCATTATGCACCGCTATACTCTTTGGAGCAATCTCCGTAAGTAGTAGCACAACCACCTGCAAAGTTTTGAGTGTATATCAAAACCACGAACGAGTAATGCTACCACACACCGTCATAACTCCAGTGGCTGCAGTGACTCCGGCTTCACCGAAAAGAGCCGTGGCAGCATCAGTCACGAGGGCCGTCGCAGCGATGTTTGCGATTCTAAAACGCACATAACAAATTTCAGTCGAGAGCAAAGAGAGAAGAATTGAGAAAACTCACGTAGTGCCAATCAAAATGGTCGTGAGGAACCGCGTCACGTCCTGGCGCAGCAGCTGGAACACGCCTCCCTCACTCTCCTTCTCAGCCAATTCCCTGACCTATAGACATCTTAACGAGGCCTCACCTATTCAGTTTGAGAGTTATACTGTGAGAGAGTAAAGAAAAGGATGGCATTACCTTCCAGGGCCACAGCGTCGTGATCGCCGTCTCGGACATGGAGAAGAACGCCGACAGTCCGAGGAGAACCGATAGCAAAAGTCCTTGTTCCTTGAGCACGCCCAAAACTTGCAAGATCTTGGGCCAGGCACCCTGTAGAAGAGCTCTCGATTTTCCTGCCAGATCCACCGCCGCGACTGCTCCATAAGCTGGACTCGCCTTGCCGTTCCATACCATCCACAAGATCCCGCTGCATAGCAGGAAAGTTCTACCGTGACAAAACCACGCCTGGAGCTGGTCAATCTGGACGTCCCTCTCTAGAGGCAGCGGCTGAGAACGATTGGGAATCCCTGTCCCTGGATCGGCAGACGAAGAACAAGCTGTTGCCTGTAACCCTCCGCGCCCACGATGGCTATGGCAGCACTCACGGCTTCGCAGCTCCGCGACGAGCAGCTTCGCATGGCGCAGACCCGGCCGGGCAGTTCTCCTCGCCGGCAAGAGCGCGTAAGTCCTGCTGCAAGAGAGCGTCGCTGTGGGAAGAACACCACCAGATGCACACATCCCGTCCCTGGCGCTGGCAAAATATGCGGCAAAATCTCACCACGAGCGATCCAGAGAGCTCATCCTCGACGAATCGAAGCTCCCATCGCCCGCGAGCACAAGCGCATTTCCCAGGAACCCTAAAAAGCCCTTGAGCATATTCGCACTATCTTCTAGAGCATATTCTTTGATCCTCGTGACCGTAAAGTTCACTTATATCTGTACGGACGAAGCTATCAACTGGAGGAGATGGTTGCCCGACTCGTTTATCGTTTCCAAGCACGCCTCCCAGAACCAAAGATCCACAGCCAACACTGACGAGAAGAGGATGAGCGCTAGCGTTTCGTATCGATTGAGCGGCCAGTTTGTGATCTTCGTAAGAGTTGCTAGAGAGAACACGTTGTCATTCTTCTCGGAGCTTGATCTTCTCGTCGTAGATTGGATCGACCAGGCAGTCTGCCACTTTAATCTTTGTGGAAAGAAACCCAAGCTTCGCAGGCGAGAATCCATGTCGGGGAGATGTCCACTGCCGTAGAAGATGGCTATCTTCTCGCAGCCTTCGGCTATGGCAGCTTCCAGCTCCCTCATCGCAACGCTGTTCCTTTCACCGATTATCACCGAGTCCTTGAGCAACGAGAACGCTCCTTCTGTTAAGCTGTTCCAGGAAATCCTCTTTGTCAAGCGAAAAAACGAAAACGAGAACTTGTTCTCAAGCTTACTCGGTGGATAGCTGCTTTGCGAGGAAGAGTTTTGTTGCCGCTGCAAGCTCCAAGTTGAACAAGGCCTTCATTTCTGGAGAGCTTGACAGAGGTGCATCTGGTGGAGCACAGACTCCCTCGATCACGAATAGTCCCAGCAGCGGCATTGGAAAGACTCGAGAAGCCCACAAAAGCTTCCCTCGCCATTGATCCAAGTCGGTTCGCGCGAGAGCAGCTGCCGAGAGAGCAGCCGTCGAGATCTTTGTCATTTCAGTTGCAAATCCAAAGAGGCTCTCTCCTTTCCTACGCTGGAAAAGAAAAAGGAAGGCCAAACTAGAGTTTAGTTCTCCAGGAAATAAAATTTTTAAGCACCTGGAGATCTTGGAAAGTTTCAAAGTCGAGGTCTGCATGGTACCAGTTATCCTTTTGGTAGTCCATGCATTCCAGCTGAAAATCCAAGCTGAGAACTTGAGCCATGAGACGCTGGATCGCGCCAACGAAACTAAAACTCCGATTTTTCCTACTATTCTTGCCTTGTGACTTGCGATTTGGAGGCTTCCATCTTCCACGGCCTTTCCAGTTCTTTCCTTTCTCCGCTACCATCTCATATAGAACCGCGTCGTAAGCATCCAATTCATTCTGGAGAGCACGAAAATACCTGGAACGAAAAAAATTGAGACCAATGTCACTAGCGCTGCTAGAGTTCCAGCGCTTACTCTTTATCAGCAATGTGTACTGCTGCCACGAGATCAATCTGAAAAGTGAATCAAATTCACGAGAAAAAACTCAAGCAATCGCTCTTACCTGGACTTGAGGCTGGAACAATGACCACATATTCTTCTTGGGCGCAGCATAGCTCACAATCGCTGTCTGCAGCTCCGCGCCTTGATCCCCCTTGTCCAAGAAGCGAGTGAAATCGCTGATGGAATTCAGCCTCGCGGACGAAGAGCCGGGCAATTCACCTGGCAACGCACCGCTCCAATCGCCATAGGCAAGCGCGGCGGCCACATTGATCCTCGCAATCCTCCTCTTCCCTCCTCCAGCTCGGCGGCATCGATTCGTCGATGAAGAGAAGACGGCGCACGGAGGATATTGCGTTACCGCCATGCCTGGCAAAATGCCAGGAGCCCTAGAAAAATCTTGGCTCCGTACCATATTTGTACGAAAAGAATCTAGAAATGCGTCCTACTAAGATTCCTGGAGATATTCTATCCAAAGTTTGAAGGAAGTCAGTCACGCAATTTAATAGCACGAGAGATAGTCAAGAAGTGTCCGTGATTGTGATCAATAGATGTGCTTTGGTCGATTATACTATGGAGTTGGGGGTGGTAAATATTTGGAGCTTGACGTGAAAACGTCAGAGGGGAAAGTTTCACCTCGCCCGTCACGCCCGTCACGCGGAGTGTCGATGAGTTATCTCTTTTACCTTGTTCTTCTCCTCATACACTGGAGCGTTTTCTTCGGTTTCACTCGCTCCAGCCAGCGCCTTATAGCGCTTCGCTTCTCCAGGTCAGCTCTTTCGATCCGGGCAATCGAAATTCGATCACCGCGCGTCTCGATCGGTGTTCTTGCCGTCGCTAGGGTCGGGCCGCGAAGAATTCGGAGGATTTCACTCGGAATTCCAGCGCATTGCGTAGGATCTCGGAGTCGCCAGCAATATTTCGGCCAATGCTTCCGCGAGAAATCCCCTCACCGGCGTTGTAGCCGGCTCCTGTCCATGACGCGGCGATGCTAGATTGCTGCTAGGATGGGGATCTGTTTCTCTGCTGATAAATCCGAGAAGGCGGAGAAGGAGAAGAACAAGAAGCACGGGGATCACGCTGCTAAAGACCAAGTCAAGAACAAGGAGCAGCGCTCAAAGAACCAGTCGGCTCATGTGGTTCCTCTTGGAAAGAGGACCAATTTCGGGTATGGGAGGGATTTCCAGGCCAAGTACAAGCTCGGCAAGCTCCTGGGCCACGGGCAATTCGGCTACACTTATGCCGCTACAAAGATTGGATCAGGGGAGAATGTCGCTGTGAAACGCATCGAGAAGAAGAAGGTTTGATCTATCGATTGGAAGTTTTTCTATGCTCGTCTAGACCAATGTTTCGTGTGGTTTTTCCAGATGCTACTCCCAATTTCTGTGGAGGATGTTAGGCGGGAAGTGAGGATCTTACAGCTTCTAAGTGGCCACGAGAACGTTGTACAGTTCTATGCGTCATTTGAGGATGACGACTACGTCTACATCGTTATGGAGTGAGTTTAGATCCGTCCTGGAAACAGGCTCTTGTGTGTCGAGGCTAAGATTTGCTGAACAGGTTGTGCGAGGGTGGCGAGCTTTTGGATCGGATCTTGTCCAAGTATGATCGATCTCTTAGAAACTTTGTGTTGTTCTAAGACACTGTGTGTATTGTCATCAGGAAAAATGGCTGCTACTCGGAGAAAGATGCCGCGGAGCTTGTGAGGCAAATGCTCAAAGTCGTTGCTCGTTGCCACCTTCACGGCGTTGTTCACCGGGACTTGAAGCCAGAGGTACTGCATCTCACGAAAGGTTTGTAGTGCTAATGCTGTACCAGTTTGCAGAATTTCTTGTTCAAATCGCAGAGGGACAACACACCGCTCAAGGCAACAGATTTTGGCTTGTCAGACTTTATCAGACCCGGTAATGTTGCTTGTACAGAGCCTTCGTTTGTGGTTGACAGCTCCGAACATACAGGGAGGAGATTCCATGATATTGTTGGAAGCGCGTATTACGTTGCCCCCGAAGTTCTCAAGAGGAAGTCTGGGCCGGAGTCCGACGTCTGGAGCATCGGGGTTATTACCTACATTCTGTTATGCGGCAAACGGCCGTTCTGGGATAAGACAGAGGCTGGAATATTTAACGAGGTTCGTTTCGTGGGTAAACGTGTCGTCTGTATAATTCTTCTTACGTCGTCTTGTAAGTACAGGTGCTGAAGAAGAAACCGGAGTTTCGAATTAAGCCTTGGCCGTCTATAAGTGCCAATGCCAAGGATTTTGTGAAACGCTTGCTCGTGAAGGATCCACGGGCGAGGCCGACTGCCGCTCAAGCACTATGTAAGCAAGTGAAGTTTAGTTATAGTTCACTCGTACCTTCTTTTTTTGTTCTCTTTTGCAGCTCATCCATGGGTCAGAGAGGGCGGGTGTGCACCTGATTTCCCACTGGACATCATTGTTCTCTCTAACATGAGAGAGTTTGTCAAGTTCAGTCGATTAAAGCAATTTGCTTTTCGGGTAAGTGTATCATGCTGTTTTGCAATTTTCATTCTGATTTTTATTGCCTAGGCTCTGGCTACAACCTTAGAACCGGAAGAAATTCACAATCTTCGTGACCAATTCAACATCATTGACGTTGATGGGAGTGGCACAATCACTCTAGAAGAAATACGACAGGTTATATCCGGCATTTTCTAATGTTGAGCTTGAGTTGTGTGCTGGTTAGCTAGGCACTCTTGAAGGACCGTCCATGGACGCTGAAAGAATCAAAAGTATTAGAAATCGTCCAAGCTGTAAGTTTACTACTTACGTTCAGGCGCAGCTAGATTGACGATGCATGCCGGCAGATGGACGCCAATATGGACGGATTCATAGACTTCGACGAGTTTGTTGCTGCCACGCTCCATGTTCGTCAACTCGAGGAGCTGGATTCTGAAAAGTGGCAGCTGCGGACAAAGTGCGCGTTTGACAAGTTCGACAAAGACGGTGACGGATTCATATCTCCAGACGAGATCAAAGAGGTAAGCGACAAGTAAAACCATATTATTTCGAGTTTAGAAACTTTTCTCGCTGTGCAGTACACAGGGCTCAAAGGATCGCTAGATACACTGCTGGACGAAGCTGATGCTGATGGCGATGGCCGGATCAGCTTGCGTGAGTTCCAGAAGCTCTTGAGGCAAGCAAGCCTTGGCTCCCGCACCAATCACCACCACATCCAACCTCATCTCAAGCATCCCAAGCTTCTGGAGGTACTCTTGTTTTTTCACCCCTCAGTTTTTCCATATTTGTTGTCTCCAGATGCACGCTCCGAGTCCTAAGATAAGCGAAGAGTCATCACAGTAAGATATTTGATGGAAAACAAAGACTCTGACGAGGTAACGAGACAAACTAAACTAGACTAGGAGCTGAAAAGTTCAGATTTGCGAAAATAAAGAAAAGAAAATCCCTATTAAACTTGATAAAAAGCTTTTGGATTAAAACGTAGGAACAAGAACCATCACAGCCACTCCAATCCGTCTATAAAATCCGTGCTTGCGTAAAATTCAGCAGCGTCTGGCTTTATCGTTCTGGTCCAGTTTGCGCGTTTCAACGAATGAGCACCGGGACCGTAATTTTGATACTCCGCATAAAAGGCAGTGCTGTAAGAGAGCGATAAAAAAAGTTAGCAAAGAGGTGTGAAGTTACTATGATTTACCTGTTGGATGGGCCGTAAGTATCAGTCCAGTGAGTCCAGCCAACAGGATCTACCACATCCTCCATGTAACAATTGCTAAAAACCACAAATGCGTTGCTCCCCCAAGGTCGGCCCAGCGTCATCTTTCCAGTCCCACCAAGATAGCAATTGTGGAAGGAGTACCCAGAAGTGAAATTAGTGAGCGCGGCTTTTCCTTGTGCCGTCAAGGATCCACTGGTTGTGGCATTGACATTCGAGATGAGATTACATCTCTGTGCGAGGGGAGAAGAGAGTTGTGGTGTAGGAACTGAAAGACAAAAGTTTTCCTTACCTCGTAGAGTGACCTTCCAAGGCCAAATATGAAATCGATGTTCCCCTCGATGTATGTGTTCTTGAAGTAGTGCCTCCCACGATCGTCGTAGAGGGTGTCCTGGCTTGACAGGATGAAGCAATCAGAAATCTTTGCAAAATCGCCACTTAATTTCAAGGCCACGGCTTGCATGTCATGGGCTCCTGGATTTGCGAATGGTGCATCGTTCTACCAAACACATCAAATCAAAAGTTATAAAAGAGAAAACTATAGGAATGACTTACTTGGAAGGTGATGTATTGAGCAATAAAATATCTAGAAAATACTTCAAAAGTTGCACTTTTACCAGTTCCATTAGCTGATCCATGATTTGCATTATAAACAATCACAGTATCAAATATATACTTGGTTTGGCCTTGCAATGTGATATAATCTTTAAATTTTGGTATTGTGATCTTTTCACTGCATTCCAGAAACAAAAAAAATTCAGAAAACAGAATATAATGAAAAATATTACGTACCGGTAGACACCTGGCTCAACCAAAATCACAAATCGATTTGATGCATTATAAGGAATCCAATCGATTGCAGAGCTAATATTTTGGAAGGTATAAGCACGCAATGGATTGGTAGCATCATAAGTATAATTTGGATCAACAAAAATATAGAGTGGATGATTGTCAGCATTTATCACGGATTGATGCCTCTCGTCGCAGACAATGCATGGAACAAAGATCAAATTCAACACAAGAACAGTTGCAGCTAACTTAAACATTTTGACTTTTGACAAATATTGAACTATATTTTCTGATTTATATAATACGACAATAAGCCATATATAATTTGTAATTTTTTACGGTTCACAATATTTTTAATGCTACAGCAGCTAGAAATAGTGTTTAATGCTAGATATATTATTAATGCGAACTAAAATATTAGTTCAATTGAAAAAATGAAATATATAAAATCTATGGAGTCCATGGAGGGGAGGGTGGTGGTGGAGCTGGAAACATAGGAGGTATCGCAGAAAATATCGTCATTGCATCAATACCAGCGTCGTCTTTGCCAGAGAGTGCGATCAAAGCTGCGACTAAACCCGCATTTCCAGCGATGGTCGGCTCCGTGAAGTTGTAATTCCCTCTCTTGTCTTGGAACCTGTCCTTGGGATCGGGGCCCCCGACTAGAGCGCCTTCGATAACATTGGGATTGGGCTGCTTGCTATCCCTCCACTTGAATCCAGACACATCGCAAGCAGTCTTGCGATTCTTGGGAACCGATGCTGCTCGGTGGTGGACGTACTTGGGATACTTGTTGCCGAATCCCACAACGTAGCTCATATGCCGTGGGTTCTTCCCGAGAATGTAGTCCATCTGGATAGGAAACTAGTTATAACTCGAAGGAAAACTGGGAAACTATCGATGCTTGCCTGAGACTTTGCAAATTCGCGTAGCTTGTCAGCCTTGTAGAGCTGCGGACCGCATGACCAGCCAGGAATGTCCGCCGCCAGTAAGTAGTCACTGTAAAGCGTCGCTAGGAATGCAGCATTGACGGAGTATTGCAATGGTGCCGGGCCGCCTCTGTTGAAGAGCACGAGTCCTCCTGGAAAATGCGAGTTATGGAACTGATTATATAGATTCTTGTCTGTTTGCTGGGATGTACCTGGCGTCTTTGGAAATATTTTATACACTGGCAAGTACGAGCACATAACGATGTCTGTCTGATTGTGAAAGCTCTTAAGGACGGTTTCATATGGATATCCAGGACCTTGGAGCATCCTTAGTCTGGTTAGCAACACCTGTACATTCCGGAGTTTTGTATTTCAAGTCGACTTGCTCAAAAGGAACAAAAACAGAACCAAAACGAAAAAAACTAGAGTGTACATACCTGAGCACCGATAAGTTTGTTGTCCCAATTGAAAACTCCATAAAACTGGCTGTTTCTGTATGCCCCGGCATGCCGTCCTATTCCATAAGTTGTCACAAGTTGGAGGTAGCTGATATTTCCCGTTGCGTAGTACAGCCAAGCTCCACCCCACAAATACTCGTCGTAGTATCCACTCGAGTTGTAAAATCCCGCTGCATCAGGCACGCTTGCACTGTAGCGACCGCGTCGATCCCTGGACATCTTGAACAAGATGTCCGCACCGTGAACCAGCTTCTGGGAGTAAGCACTGTTTCCTTTAAAAACTATAGATGCCGCGGCCAAGGCGGCTGCCATTTCCGCAGCCAAGTCTGATGCCGTGCCAGTCTGCATCGATGGCCGCGGGTAGTCCATGTCTTCTGGCCTCTCCCAGCAGAAATGATCATCAGGAGAATCCCCACGTCCCTTGCCTACCTGGTCAGAAAAAGAAAAGAAAAACACTTTTCTCTTGACAGCTCTTTCAACTTAACAACCATACCTGAGCATAGATCGAATTCACGCTTGGCGCAGAGGCATTAAACGTCTTGAGCAGATAGTCAGTCCCCCATTTAATCAAGTCTTTAACGTGACCGAGCTCGCCCACCGCCTCATACTTGCTACTGTACTCAATCACGCTCCAACTTAGCAGCGTCATAGCGAACGCCTGTGGAAAGTGGAACTTGATATTGTCGCCGGCATCGTAGTATCCTCCAACCAAATCGGCCTGGTTGTCCGATCCATCCTTAAGACCCGAGTCACCTCGGTACGAGATGTTGTTCCCATGCGGGAGTTTCCCAGCTGGAAGAGAAAACAACTTCAAACTTCCTCCTCCTCCTAGAAAGCCAAAAGAAGAAAAGAGTATACTCACATTTTTGGGCGTTGAAAAACTTGAGAGCTTTGTGTAGAGCGAGCGTGTAGTTGTCCGGAGGGGACGGATGGCGGTGGTGCCTGGGAGCTGTCTTGACGATGAGAACCGTGAATCCGGCGATGAATCCCACCGCGAGGATGGCGTAGACGATCCCGAGGAAGAGCTTCTGGCTACAAACGATGCATCCCAGATCGATCGTTTTCTTCCTTTTCTTCTCCCCGGCACCGAGAAGCCAGCTCTGCTGCGTCTCCTCCAGCTTCTGCAAGGCCGCCCTGTCCAAATCCATGCTCCTGTTGCTCTGATCTTCCTCGTTCACGGAAGGATCCAGCTCCAGGGGGCCGCCCCATGAATTATGGTACATGGCGATCGATCGATCGCGGCGCTGACCAGAAATTGGCGTGCCCGGCCGGCAATCGACGCAATGCGGCTAGAATCTTGTCAAGGAAGTGTGGCGGCGGCGATTCTTGCGACCTGTAACGCACGCTTTGCCCGATCCAAATATCTCCAGCAAGACGCTGGACGATCTTGGAAAGAAGTCAAGGAATGCCGCTCAGCTTACCGAAATTTCTTGCGATCGCAGAGCGTCGACGCCAGCCCAGCCCAGCTCGGCGCCTCCGCCATAGCTGGCTGTGACGAGCACCGGTTAGAACCTGGCTTGGGAACACGCGGAAAGAAGAAGCTTCTTCTCTCCGGCGAAAAAACAAATAAACCCCTCGCTCATTCTTGACGTGCTGCCCGCCAGCTCAGGGCGCCTCCACCCAACCACGATGTGCCACGTGTTTCTACCTTGACTTTGCTGTGAGCGCAACGTGGGATCGTGGTTAGGTTTGAGTATTATATTTGATCGAGGTTTATTGTTGTAGAGACGTGCTTTGGTTTGGTCATTCTTACACTCAGCTTGGAGTTTTTAGTTTTTTATTCTCAAAGTTTGATGGTAGGTTTTAGATGAACTGGCTGGCTTTTCAAGCAATCCTTGCTCGCACCTGGAGAGATTGTGGAGGGAATTATTCCATTGTGGTAGCTGTCTATGTAGAGTGCGTTTAGTGATGACGAGCTACCTAACAAAACAGCCCCTCGGTTTCTAACTCCAGCAGCAACAGTCGCTTTGTTTGTTACGCCAACTTACTTGGTTTCGCAATCAAAGCAATAATGTTTAGTGGGCTTTAAGAACATTCTCTGTTTTGTGCTCTTTTAACGGTCAAGATGTATATGATGTTTCTAACCGTTGGTTTTTAATTTAAATTAAACGTTTTTTTCAATAATTATAGACAATGGCGTGAAAAATGGACTCATATATCTACGTCTGGGGGGTTTTCTCTATACACGAGAGAGCTACAAAACCAAGTGAGCGAAACCAAGACAATAGCTATTTTACGTATCATTGTAACGCGACGATGAGGAGCCATCTCCCAGCCTTCTCCGAGGATGCATGCTGGCTCGCCTGGCCACGTCCCACGACCTGTGAGGGGTGCTCACGCCCTCTTGCAGCGCAAAGAAGGAGTCGAAACCCGGAGAGTCGAAGGAGAAGCCCGTGTGCCGGGACCTCTCGCGGGGGAGCTGAGCCATGGCCAGAGTCCGCCGCTCCTCCTCGGTCAGTGACTGCTCCCCGTCTAGCAGGTGCATCTCGTACGCGTCCTCGGACGAGAAGGTCGGGGAGGATCGCAGGTGATACTTCTCGTCCTCTTCTATGATCTCGTAGTCGTAAGGAGCGAACCAGCGCCTGAGTCTGCAAAGCCAAAACAGTCGAGAGAAATGCTAAGACAGATGGTGGAACAAGTAGGCTTACCCGCTGTAGAGGAAATCGCCAAGTAAAGCTACCACTGGAACTAAGACTAACGTGAACCAAAAGTAGAAAGTCCCCATGAGAACGAATATCACGAAACGGATGTTTAGCTGGAAAGGCACGCAACAAAGCAAGCGTAAGACGAGAGCTAGCAGCGAAATCGGTTTGCGAGGACGTACCTGACTAGTCCAGTTTGTTCTAAGAGCCGAGTATATGAAAACAAAGACGAACCACGCCAGGATGCTGCATCCAACGCTTATATGGTGCCAGATGGTCAAGTACGTCGATGCCATTAGGAGCCGCAAGTTAACCGTGATGACGATACATGTGAAAGCCATCGTGCCTAGATCCCACAGGCCAAGTAGCATACCAGAGCTGTTTTGACCAATCCTTCCGGCGTGAACGGGGAAAGCGAAGAGAATGATGGACTGGTAAATTCCCGAGATGAACCAAACCGCTAAGACACGCCATCTGAAATACGCATTTCTTATTCCAGCCATATAAAGTTGAGGATTTAGCTTGGACTTGGTCGCACTGACATCCTGCCTCAAACAAACACCGTGAAAATGAAACGGAGCGAAGTAGTGTATCGGTTACCTGGTCGAAAATTCCAACAACGATGACTGGCAGTGCTGTGAACAACACATTGTATAAAGACTGAAACCAGTCGTCGTAGAACCGTTGGCCAGAAAAACCAGTGTAGCAATTGAACCAGAACTGCGTCAAGGTGAACGTAAGATTCTTGTAAAAGAAATAGCTCACGACCTGAAAGCGGCAGCATTAGAGGACTGATAGAACGAGACATTTGAACCATACGAACCTTTGTTATCCGAATATATGACCACCGTCCATGCACCAGGAGCAGATCAGTAAGAAATCGAAACTGTGCTATAGCAAAATCGCTTGCCATCACTGCTTGCATTCCTTCCTGCCCACTGATTCCAACCCCGATATGAGCAGCTTGAATCATGCTCACGTCGTTAGCACCATCACCAATGCTTAAAGTTATTTTCTTGGCTCCGTCTTTCACTAGTTTCGTTACCTGCCAATAGAATTACAAGATCAAAACACACAAATGGAAAGGAAACACTTACTTGAGCTTTCTGCAATGGAGAAACTCGACAGCACACAACAGCCTTGCACTTAATTCCCAGTTTCAAGAGAGTGGCGCGTAACGGAGAATCCAGCGCAAACATTAAGCATTTACCGTCGATTACTAGCGCCATATCAAGCCCTGTCCTTGCACGTTCATTGTCTTCCGCCTCTGTTAAAGAGGAAAACAATTGGTCTCTCACCCAAGACTCGATTGTGCGAGCAGTGGCAGCAGGATCTCCCTGGAAAGAAGGTCAATACCATACTTTAACGAACTGTAGAGCAGCTCTCACTCACCCTCTCTTCGACCTCTCGGATTGCCTTTGTTTCAGAACCAATAACAAACTGCTTCATTTCGTTGTTGACGAGGTTGCAAGCTGATCAAAAAGCAAATCTTGCGAGCTGTTTAACAACGAAAAACAATACCATACCGTAGGCAATATTGATAGCTGTCTCCATTTTGTCCCCGGTTAACACCCAGATTTTAATTCCAGCCCTCGCAAGAGTTTCTATGCACGTTGGGACTCCTTCCTGCAACTTATCTTCAATGGCTGTTGCTCCAATCAACATTAGCTCTTTCTCAATATGTTCCGCAACCTATATTCGAAAACAGCATCAGAAGACCGTCATTTTGGGGACTGCAATGAAAACCTCGTCGAGCTTCTTTTCTCGATCTCGTAAAGCTGATTTTGCTTGCACGAATTTCTCGTTCCACGCATCATAGAGCTGCGGATCCAGATCACGATACGCCAAGCACAAGGTTCGAAGTCCATCTGCTCCAAACTTCTCGAGGTGTTCTCTCGTCACTTCTTTGATCTCAGTATTCTTGTCGGACAACCTCTCATAAATAACATTATCGGCTCCCTAGCAGATGCAAAAACGTTAGAAAAAAAGAAGAAGCATCTTCATGGTCTACAAACCTTGCAGTACAAGACGAGCCTCCCGTTTGGATAGCGGCAAATGACAGACTGACGTTTCCTTGTGCTATAGCACTAACAAAGACTGTTAAGAAACTGGCGCCTAGAATTAACTTTCTTCACCTGTTGAACTCCAAAACATTTAAAATTTCGTATTCAGCGTCTTGGACACGACCAGCCTTCTCGAGGTATGATTCTCGAACTTTGATCGTTGTGGGTGACCTCCTGCAAGCACCAACCAGATATATTTATACAAAATTAAATTGCTGTTTCAACTTACCGGTAAAAGAAAAAGCCAAAATTTTTAGCAGCTTGCACAAGAGCAGCCTCGTCCGGAGAGGCGGCTTGATAAACTATTTTGTCCGGCGTCTCATCCCCTTCAGGCAACACCGTATGGCAAATTGCAAGACACCTAAAAAACTCCTGCACCACAAGTGATATAAGCTAGAACTTGGTACCAAACTAAGCCCACCATGCACATTTCAGGTTGAGTTTCGTTTTTCCATGCTCCCTTCATCAGCCTTCTATCGTCAAAGTTGAACCCCTTCTCTCGGATGGCATATTCGGAAGGTTTTACCTATTGCCATCGTTAAGCCTTCCAGATCATGAAAAAACTATCAGATAAAATACCTCTTCAATAGTAGTCCCAGTGCGTCGAGCAGCTGCTCTTTGAATTTCCGTTATTCCTGTTCCGTACATTACTCCGGCGATCGAGCATTTGAAAAATTCCATCAAGTTTCTTGTTAGTGTACCAGTCTTATCTGAGAAGATGTACTCGATCTGCAAATAGTGAGCAGAAATGTTCTTGTGTGAATTTGACTTAAGACAAAATAGTTTACCTGGCCAAGCTCCTCGTTAAGGTTTGATGTACGAGCCATCGCGTATGTTTTACTGGGAGCATGGTACATATTACGATCATTATTGATAAACTGTGTTGACTGGATAAACTTGATCATCTGCCAGAAGAATCGATTCAGGCAGAGATTGAATAGAACGAAGGTAATCACCTCAATGGACACATATAAAGAAATTGGAATAATGGGCGAATAGAGGGTGACAAAAGTGAACAGATTAAGAATCGCAACCTGTAGAGTCGGGTTTTAAAACCAGCAAAAATAGCCAAAAGATAATACCACAAATTTGTTGCTGGGGTTGTATTGCTGTTCCACGTCATTACTGAGATTGAGATACCAGTACTTGCGATCGATAAAAGCTGCACTGTCATCCATCCAGAAAGTGTTAGCAACAATATAGCATTTCTCTCAACTTACCTTCCAATGGCGCCAATCACACATAGGACAAACAATATACAGAATAAAAGGAGAATCAGCTTGTCAAGCCTTCGTTCTAGAGTACTGCGTTTAGAAGGTACGGCCATTGCATTCATCATCACCTGGATTAAAGTTTGAAAATTGTGAAGTAAAATGCACTTGTGTACCTTTGTCTCATGACCAGTAAAAAGAACGACGCCAACAACCCACTCCGTGTTCCGCAGGCTACAACCCTGCGTATCACATCGATATCAGCGGACGCAAACTCCAACTACACCAGTGTTACCCTCAGCAAAATCTGGTTCGGTGACAACGGCAGTGTTTGCTTTCCCATGACTAGATTCCCAGTGAACGTGTACAAAGAGTTATTAGGCTGCTCGCATTCTATTACGCCTGCGCATCGCAAACGCTCAGAATAGCTTTTCTAGAGTTCGAGATTACCTCTAAAGTCTGGCGCCTTATCGGGATACATGTAATCCCAGGTTTTTTCTAGTGCTTTGCGAATCTTCAAATTAGTTTCTCCATCAAGGTTAGATGTCTGGACCAGATGAAAGAAACTTCAGTGAATGAACGAACTCTAGACGTCAAGATGTAAACAGTACCTCGATGTAACAGATCCCATCAGCATTGGTACTTGCTAGGAAAAGCAAGTCTGCTGGAAAGTACTGGTCTTGGTTAACCTGTTAAGAACGCTCCGTGAAATGCCTAAAACACGAGAATTACGTACCCTGATAACATCTCCTACATTCAAATCTTTCCACGCAACATTCCTCCACTCGTTTCCTCTACAGACTTCGACGGGGCTCGCGTTGACTATTTTATCGCTTTGATAGCGTCTCTATACGACTGTAGAATTAAAACGCGTGTGTCTAGAAGCTTTCATAATGCCCACCTGATCCTCGAAAGCCTCCTTGATCAAAGATACTGCAAGCACTAGCGACAGTGGTACGATGTTCGTGATGGGCTGAACAGGGCTGCAAATTTCACCACAACGTTGGAAAAATGATACCAGCAAACAAAGAACTAAGGTCAGACCTTACAGGTGTTGCTGAAAGGATGGCGATCATAAGAAAATAGAGGTTTGCAACACGTCGGAACTGCATAGGAGAATGAAGAAGAAAAGTTTAAGAAAAAGGATGAGTAGAGCGCTATGAACCTGTTCAAACAAGCCCTTGGGCAGAAAAGTGACCAAATTATACTTCGTCGTTGATATCACGTTACCCTGGATCGTAAAACCCCCAAGCAAGGAATCAGACAAGAGAACCAAATTCCAGTAACTCCACCTTGAACTTGAAGGGCGCATTTTGCTCCGGATCATTGCAGTACACTGTTCGATGCGCGATATGCGCATCCCCCATCGCATTATGCTGCTGGAATCGCGTCCCACCCCTAAATCCGGGAGCCATCGCTTCGAAATCTCACACGCAGCGGGCCAATTCTTGCAGCTACCAATCTCCAGATCTCGCAAATGCCGCGCGGAGCTACTAACCTCGGGCGCGGATCCGGGCGCCTCAGTGGAGCTCCCCCATCCCAGAGCTGGACGAAATGAAAAACCCTAAAGTAAGACGCTTGGTGCTGGGACCAAAGAAAGGAGGGAAAAGAAGAAGGAAAAAAATACACCCAAGGTACTTTCCAAAGATCCGCCGAATATCCTGCCTTTCACTTATTTTGGGTCGACGTTTTGGCCACCCCATCGTACAGCCATTCGCGTACGAAAGGTCACGCCCTTTGGGCCCTGTCATCAAGCCCAGCTCGCGAGCAAAAGCTTTCTTCTTCCTCTCTTTGGAAGCGATAGAGAGAGAGGGAGAAAGAACCAAAAGAAATGGCGACCGCGTCAGTGGATGTCAAGGAGCTCCCAGCATCATACGTGTTTGTGGCCGATGTCCCGGGGCTCAAGAACACGGACATCAAGGTAAAATCACCTAAACAAACGCGATCGAAGGAATTTCACACCAAATGCAGCCCCGGGGCGAATCCTCTCTCGATCAACTCCCTCTGTGTGTGTGATCCAATCCAATCCAGGTCCAAATCGAGAACGATAGCATCCTCAAGATCAGCGGCGAACGCAAGCGCGAGGACAATCCAAGCTATGACATCAAATACGTGAGGGTGGAGCGCGCCGTGGGCAAATTCATGAGGAAGTTTAATCTTCCCGCCAATGCCAACCTAGAGGCGGTGGCGGCGTCTTGCCAGGATGGAATCCTCACCGTCACTGTGCCCAAGATCCCACCTCCAGAGCCCCACCAGCCCAAGACCTTCGATATCGCGGTCGCTAGCACCGCTGCTGATAGTAAAAAGTAAAACCAGAGATTATACCTTTACCACTTATCCATGCGTTTTACCCATACGTATGAGTTGAGGGGGATCATTCCCGGAATGTATTCCCTCCATCCAGAAGAATATATAGTGCTCTAGGGTCACCATTTATGCATCTCTATTCGTGCCGTGCGCAAGTGCTCGTCCTCTCGCGCTGTTCGTCGCCATCGCCGCCGGCGGACCAGCAGCGCCATCGCGGGCGCCAGCATTGGATCTCGTCGATTCACCTCGAAATCCGGCGTCACAGCAGGCTCTTCCGGCGATCGTCGTCGTCGTCTAGGGTAAGGCTCCGGGCGAGGAGCGCGTCGGCAATGCCCGCCTTCCACAGCGCTGGGTCGAAATTCCAGGATCTGGCGTCCTACGAGACGATTGATGCGTCCACGTTCCTGGCCGGATTGATGCCCAAGAAGGAGATTGGCGCCGATCGGTTCCTGGAAGAGCATCCCGAGTATGATGGGAGAGGAGTCGTGATTGCGATATTTGGTTCGTTTGATTGGTAGTTTTTGCATTTCTTATGCTCTCTGTTTGCAGATTCTGGTGTAGATCCTGCCGCAGCTGGGCTACAAATCACATCGGATGGCAAGCCAAAAATCATAGACATCGTTGATTGGTGAGTCTAGTTTCAGTACTTCCTAGTGTGTGTTTACGTGCACCAACCAAATTCTTGTAGCACTGGAAGTGGAGACGTTGATACATCCAAAGTTGTACGTCAAGATGACAAGGGATGCATTATTGGAGCCTCTGGTATGAAAATTGATCACGACTATGCTCGGTTCGATATTTGTCTTTCCAACCAGGTGCCACATTGCGGCTCAATGGATCCTGGGTAAATCCATCAGGAGATTGGCGAGTCGGCTGCAAATTTGTGTATGAGCTCTTTCCAGAGAGACTGTCTACTCGTCTGAAGGTAATAGTCCGTGTCTCCGGCATGAGTTCGAAATATGTTTTCAGAGGGAGCGAAGGAAACACTGGGACAAAAATCACAGGGAGGCCATTACCGATGCTATCCGGCAACTCCAAGCATTTGACCTTGTAAGAGCTCATCTCTTTTTTTGTTTTTCATCTTTTTTCCTTGTGCTTCCTTTCCCGTTTCCTTTTTTTCGGCTTTACTCCTAAACACTGATGCATTCTACAGAAATATCCAAAGCCTTCGGATTCCAACTTGAAGAAGCAAAGAGAGGACCTTCAGAATAAAGTGGATATCCTTCAGAAGCTAACGGATGTGAGCAAAAGTTTTTCTTTTTTGTGAATCGTTCCTTCTGATTCGCTGCTTTGTTCTAGAGCTACGAGGACAAAGGTCCTATTATAGACGCCGTGGTATGGCACGATGGAGAGGTTTGGCGCGTTGCACTTGATACATCAGAGATGGAAGATGATGATGGGATTGGAAAGCTTGAGGATTTTACTCCAATGACCAACTACAAGTAACACAGGCGTATAATTGTTTGTGACTGACCACTTTTTTTGTAGGATTGAGAAGAAATACGGCATTTTTTCTCGAACGGATGCGTGCAGCTTCGTGACTAATGTCTACGACAATGGAGATATCCTTAGCATCGTGACTGATTGCTCCCCTCATGGTACTCATGTGGCTGGGATCACGGCAGCTCACGATCCGAAGGTTGTTTATCTTACTTCTATGATACGTACTAAAGCTGTGACGTACTTATAGGAGCCATTGTTGAATGGGATTGCTCCTGGAGCGCAGCTAGTTTCCTGTAAAATCGGAGATACGAGACTTGGCTCCATGGAAACAGGCACCGGCCTCACTCGTGCACTCATTGCTGTAATTGAGGTACTTATGAAATGGTACTGTTCAACGGAGCTCATATGTAACAGCTTTCTCATGCCAATGCAAGCCTTGTATCCTTTTCTCCTGATAGACTGTATTACTGCACCCGTGTTGCTTGTGCGAAACTCCTGGCGTCGTTCAGTTTTTCGTTCTATATAGTGACTTACTTTCGCCTGACAGAACAAATGTGACTTGATCAATATGAGCTACGGGGAGCCAACGAGATTTCCTGATTATGGTCGCTTCACCAGACTGGCGAATGAGGTATCATGCAAACACTTGTAGCTTGTTCTGTTGTTTCTGAACAAGTTTTATGTTTTATAGGTGGTACATAAGCACGGTGTGATTTTTGTGAGTAGTGCTGGGAACAATGGACCTTCACTAACTACAGTGGGAGCACCTGGTGGTACTTCGTCTTGCATTTTGGGGATTGGTGCATATGTATCGCCGGTGATGGCTGCCGCTGCTCATTCGATCTTAGAACCACCATCTGAGGGGATGCAATACACATGGTAAAGTTTGCTCGCTATTCCCTTGTTTCCATACTCATGAACGTGATTCTGGACAGGTCCAGCCGTGGTCCTACTTCGGACGGTGATCTGGGCGTTTGTTTAAGTGCACCGGGTGGTGCTGTTGCACCTGTTCCCAAATGGACACTGCAGCATCGCATGTTGATGAATGGAACTTCCATGGCGTCGCCGTGTGCTTGTGGAGGCATAGCACTCGTGCTCAGCTCCTTGAAAGTAAGGTTTTTCTAGATGCCTTGTATATTGACTAAATGTCAGTTCAGGAAGAAGGCAGGCCTATTAGTCCATACGTTGTGAGGAAGGCATTGGAGAATACAGCGGCGCGAATACGCAATTCTCCTGAAGAATGTTTGACGACTGGAAGAGGACTTCTTCAAGTGGACAAGTAAGATCTGTGAGCGCACTAATCTAATAATCTCTTCATCTCTTTTCTGCGTTCAGGGCCTATGAATATTTGCAAAAGTGCAAGGAGCTACCTTCCCTTTCGTATCCAGTGCAAGTAACTCGGGCGGCTAATCCAGGTGCTACAATGCGTGGCATTTATCTGAGAGATGCGTGTGAATCTCAGCGTGCAAGTGAGGTGATGTTTAGTCTTGTTTTCAGCTCTTGTTGTTTTCAACTTCCGTTATTGACAAGCGTATAAAATTGCAGTGGACGGTGCAAGTGAAGACCAAGTTTCAGGAGGGAGTAGACAAACTAGATGTGCTTGCACCATTCGAAGAACGTCTTCGACTCGAGAGCACTGACGTATCAATCGTTAAATGCCCCGAGTATTTGTTGCTCACGCACAATGGGCGAACCTTCAAGTACGTTACGTTCGTTCTACTAGCCACGTTGTTAATAATTGATTTACAGTGTGATAGTCGACCCAACAAATCTTAAGCCGGGTGTGCATTATGCTGAAGTTGTTGGCATAGATTGTATGGCACCGTGGCGAGGTCCATTGTTTCGTGTCCCGGTCACAATTGTCAAACCCGTTCAAGTAACCGAAGTGCCACCAGCGGTATCTTTCTTAAAATTGATATTCTCACCTGGTAAATCCTCGCTCGAAACCTCATTTTTATGAATTGCACTCATGTTTTTTCATCAAGGTCATGTTGAGAGGAGATTCATAGCCGTTCCCGAAGGTGCTACGTGGGCCGAGATGACTGTCCGAACTTCCAATTTTGATACACCTAGGAAATTTTTCCTTAACGCTGTTCAGGTACTAGTGTTTTTATACGTCTTCGTGGTAACTTAAAAAGAATTTCCAGCTTCAAAGGAGTGCAAGACCATCCGTTTGGGAAAGCATTCTTACTCTAACTGCACCTTGCTCGAAAAGTTTTGCCTTTTCTGTTTGCGAGGGCCTAACGATGGAGTTGACTATATCGCAATTTTGGTCTAGCGGCAGTGGTAGTCATGCTGCCGCTCATGTAGATGTGGAGGTATTTTTGTACGTTATGTTATAATGTTCCCATCTTATATTTGTGTGCAGATTGAATTTCGTGGCTTAACTCGCTGTAGCGGTGATCTGTTCTTAAACGGAGCTGATGTAGCGACACGAGTCAACGTTATGTCTCCTCTTTCTAGTGAAAGACTGACTCCTTCAATAACCTTAACAAGGGTAAGGATCTTATTTTAGTCAACGTTAATTCTGAATGATGTTACAGGTGCGAACTCCTTACCGGCCCTCCGAATGGAAGTTAGAAGCCTTATCTGCAGAGCGAGACAATTTACCAGATGGACGACAAATACATGGTCTAACACTGATGTGAGTTCTCTGTCATTGTGTCTGTTAATAACTTACGCTTGTCCAGATATAAGTTCAACCTTTCAGAAGGGGGTAAATATACTCCAAGATTTCCCGCCTTGAATGGTCGAGTTTATGACAATGAATTTGAATCGCAGTTTTATATGATTTATGATGCTAACAAGGTATGGCACAGCTTTATTCTTTTACCCATTTATGCTGTGAATTTTGCAGAGGGTACTTTCAATGGGGGATGTTTATCCCAAAGGCGTGAAGCTTTCCAAGGGAGAATACACCATTCGTTTGCTCATTAGGTACTAAATATTTCCTTTTAAAATCAGCTTCAACGATATTTTTGTAGGCATGACAATTCAAGTTTCCTAGAGAAGTTAAAGAAGGCAGTATTATTCATTGATCGTGGACTTGAAGAAAAGGTGTGCTTATTTTTCACTGTAAATGAGCTCACAGGCGGTGTTCTGTGCAGAATTACATAAAATTGAGCTCCTATTCAAATATCGATGGTGCTATCACTGGTACGAACGGCCTCAAACCTACAGTGCTGGCTCCCGGGTATGTCTAAGAAAAGCGTTGCTTGACTTATCCTTTTTGTTATTTGTGTTAGAGAAAAACGTGCTTTTTATGTTGCATCTCCTGGAGACGATAAAGCTCCAAAGGTAATGGAGTTTTCCAGCAAACAAAGTTTTCTTACCAGCAGTTTTCCAGGACGCGCCTATTGGAACATTGTTAATGGGAAAAATGACGTTGGGAAAGACTTCATTCGCGAACAACAAAGGTGAAGAAAATGGACAGGCGTGCCCTGCGGTGTCACGGGTTGTGGTCCCGATTGCTCCCGCTGCCAAGGTAATTATGTTTCTTTTTTCTATTGCCGTTGTAATTTGTGAGTTCTTTTAGAATGATGAAAAGGCCAAAGACAAGGAGCCAGAGCAACAAAAGTCTCCTTTCAAGAAAATTGAGGAGGAAGTAAGTTGCAATGTCAAAGCTGTCGGTGTTTTTCATTGTCGTCTCGCTGCAGGTTAGAGACGTTAAGATCAAATTGCTATCGCTTCTCCCAAGAACCACAAAAGAAGAGCGCGCTGAATGGTCTAGTCAAGCAAATTCTTTAAAGGTAATTCCTTTCTCAACTGAAATTGGTTTTGCTTATTTCGCCCTTCTGATATGCTGCCAGGCGGAGTTTACAAACTACATACCGCTCCTGTCCGAAATTTTGCAGAAGCTTGCAGCATCCAAGGACAGTGAGCAAGATTACGACGAGGTATCCGAAAACACGATGAGCATTGTGGCTGACGAGGCCTTTTTGACGTTTCAGGTGATCGCAGCCGCGGACGAGCTCATCAGTTGCATTGACAAAGACGCTCTCGCAAAGTTTATTGCCATGAAGAACGAACCAGAAGACGCTGATGCTGTGGTACGTTTGTAGTGTTGCACAAACTTGGCCGAGACTAAGCACTCCATTTGCAGCAAGCCAAAAAGGACATGGAAATGCAGCGCGACGCATTCCTGGACGCGCTGTGTAAAAAGCTGACTGCGATTGCGGAAAAAGAAGAACAGCAAAACAAGGCCGGCGTCTTCGAATCGGCCAAGCAAGAGAGCATTGAAACTCCACAAGACGAAAGCGGAGAAGGCTCGAGCGAGGTCGTGAAAGAAGAGGACAAGAAACAAGAAGACAGTAGCGAGTACGAGGCCACATTCGCTGAGCTGCGAAAGTGGGTCGATATAACATCGTCCAAGTACGCGCTCTTCAACGTCAAGCGAGAGAGAAAGCTCAAACGCTACGGGAACGCAATGAAGGTATGTCACAGCTTTGTTTTTTTTTTTTTTTTTCTCAAGACTTTTGGATCGATTTCTCTCCAGGCACTCAACGAGCTCATCCAAGACGATTCCAAGCCGCCGCAGAAGCCACTGTTTGAGCTGCGAATCCAGATCCTAGAAGAGATGGGATTGAAGCACTGGGTGGAGTACGAGAAGCACTGGCTCGCCATTCGCTTCCCAAATAGCCTGCCACTTTTCTAAACATTCCTTTCGTTTGAAGCCACATTCTAGGGTTTTTGGGCTCCAATGCAAGGAACTGGGGTCCCCGTGGCTGGCGCCAGTCCTTGCAACCAGAACGCGTGCGACATCCAGGATTGCCTCAAGAAGAACGATTATGTGATCCAAAGGTAACAAATCCCAAACGCAAGCTCCAATTCCTCTGGAGATTTGATCTCTGGCAGATGCCGTGGCGTGATCATGGACCTCCAGCAGTGCTGCGAGGACTGCGATTATAAATCCAAGCACTGTGGAGCGCTGTCGGGGCTGATCGCGAGCTTTGACAAGAAGAAGAGGGCCCAAAAATCCGCCGAAGTTGCCAAGTAGAAATCGTCCTCCTCTGTGTAGGTTACTTCTATTTTCCTGCAAGCAAGGTAGCGATCTCGATTTATCTTTCTAGGGCACCTCGTTTTACTCGGCTTGGATCCTCTTTCTCCCAGAAATGCCCAAGAGCAAAGACCCGTGTAATCAGCACGCTTGCGACATCCAAGCGTGCCTCCAGAGAAACCACTACGTCATGGAAAGGTACGAGGATCGGTCACTGATTTGCCTCGTGTTTCCAATTTTGCCTTTCTAGCTGCCGACAAGTGATACTCAATCTTCAGAAGTGCTGCGACGAGTGTGAGAATCGATCCAAGCACTGCGCTGCGCTCTCGGGCCTCATCGCGCAGGTCACTCGAACCGAACCAAAGTGAAACCATGAAGATAATCAAAACGTAGTGAGATTATATGTTTAACCTGCGGTTAGGTGAAAAAATAAAACTTTTGAGTTGAGGGTGCCAGGATTGGAACCCGGAAATTCGCTTTCACTGTTATATAGTGAATCGCTTGAATTAGCCACTACACCCCTCTTAACATCTGTGAAAAATTCGTGCTTGGCCGGCGACGTGTGATTCTCTTGACGTGGAGGCCACATCGGCTGACACGTCACACTTTTGTGTGTGTTTGCTCAACCTAAAAGTTTTCAAGGAACATTTTTATTCGTGAAGAGATTCCTTTAGACAAAGAGCTAAAAAACGATGTCTTTTTATACGGGGAAGATGCCTGGCGTTGCATGCCCTGACCAATGCATTTAGCTGGGAGGAGGAAGAGCAATGAGCAGAAAAAAGAAAGAGAAGAGAAACAATGAAAGAAGAAAAAAGACGAAGAGACTCCTACCTAGAGGAGTTTTCTTGCTGCTCGACGCGGGAGTTCGTCTTCGTCGTCTAAGCCTGCGCCTTCTTCATTTGGAACCTGACGACATAGATCGGAATCGCGATCCCCAGCCCGACGATCCCGCCCCACACCAGCAGCCCAAATTTGAGGTTCCGGTTCTTCATGTTCCAGATCTCATACATATGCTCCCGGTGCTCGTAATCGTAGTAGCACTGCCTCGGCGCGCCCGTCTGGAAGCTCCTCGTCGCTGGAAGAACAAGAAAGAGGAGAAAAAGAAAGCCCTAATCGATCGCGAGAGAATGCGAGTCACTTACAAGCTAGCTGCGAGGACTGCGCGATCGTCCTGGTCGCCGCTCTCGCCACCGCCGCTACGCCCGCCATCGCGCTCGCTCCAATCAATCCTAGGGTTCTTGCAAAAGAATCTTCACGGGTCAAAAACGAGTATATTCTATTTTCATCTTATCCAGGCCGTCCGTACTGGTGGAATCTCGACCGTCCGATGCCTGCCCACTTTCTATCCTTGAAATGTAATGCAAGTTACCATGATGGCGGGGTAAGTATGATTTAGTTACCGGGCTCATTCTGGTGGCCATATGTACGGCCCGGGTGACCATCATCGTACTGTGAATTGGGCCAGGAAAAACACTGTGCACAACTGTGAATGTGTAGAGGAGGTATAAGCTATATCGCTGTGGCCGAAAGCCTGGCTATTCTAGCTGGGCCGTGGGGCGAGATTCCACCATAGCGCCCGTCGTCTCTCTTCCATCGCCATCGTTGCCACTCCTCCGACGGGATCTCTCGTAGCTGCGACGGGGAAGGGATCACAGGTGAAATACGCGCCTGGGGATTTCTGGATGCCCTAGGCCTGGATCTGGAGCGCGGCCGACCGCGCCGGCATTCCAATCCAGGTATGGCGCTCTCCGAAATCTGTGCGTTTCTATGGCGCCGCGCGTTTCTAGAGCCTGCATTAGCGCGGTGTTCTTGAGAAATTTCGTGTGTCTTGACTAAAGCGGAGTTCTTGGTTTCTTTCCAGGAGGAAGGGAGATGGGGACGGAGAGTCAATTGCTGGAGAAGAAGCTCCAGGGCTTCTCGAGGCCAGACATTCGAATCAACTCCCCGGACAAACACGGGAGCGACTGGGACGATGTGAAGAACAACGAGTCGAGCAGCGCAGCCGCGTCGCCATCGACGTCCTCTCCACACTGGAAGAAGGCAATGTCGAGCTCTCCGGCGGCGGGGCGTGGCTACGGTGCCAAAGGCTCCAGCGCAGTGAACGCTCAAAAGTTTCGGCAGATTGAATGGGTTTTCCAGCTCCAAGACGTTGCCGAGGGTCTCATGACCAAAATCTATCGCCTTCGCGAAATCCTGGAGCTCAACGACAATGGCAACCAGCAGTTCTCGGATGCGTTCTGGCAGTCCGGGCTCTTCCCAAATGCTCCCAAGCTTTGCACACATCTCCTCCGAAAGTTTCCAGAGCACCCCGTGAAGCTTCTACCCGAGAAGGTGAATGATCTTTTCTTCTTTGTTTTGCGTGATTCTCAATGTGTTTTCTGTGAGTTAGTCAGGTCGATAAGCCGGGATTAGACTTGCTTCGAGACAATGCTGAGAGCTATCTTACGGCACTGGAGCCGTGGTTGCTGGTAAGAGTTTACAATTGTTTTTCGGCCTGTACGGTAAAGTCTCTATTACGCAGGTACTGCTTGACTTGATGACATTTCGTGAGCAAGCGCTGCGGGTGATCCTTGACATGAGCAGCACCGTTGTCACGCTTATGGTATGCACAAATTGTAAATCCTTGTTTCATCGTGCTTAGAAACTTTTCTTGGTTGTTCCAGCCACACCAGAATCCAATAGTTCTACATGCTTTTATGAACCTTTTTTGTGCTTTCGTCAAAGTCAACTTGTATGCCGACAAGGTAGCGTCTCGAATTGTTCATTTGTAGTTTTAAACTATCGCTACTTGCCAATTAGATTCCAAGGAAAATGCTACTCCAGCTATACAATCTAACACACACAATCTTAAAAAGCGGGAGAGACTACGAGTTTTACCACAGGTATGTTTACACAAATCTTAACTATTACAAACAACGTTGATGTGCAGACTCGTTCAGTTTGTCGACTCGTTCGACCCCCCACTGAAAGGTTTGCACGAAGATTTGAATTTTGTGAGCCATAGGGTGGGAGAGGTATAGCATTAAATTATACTCTCATTGGCTTGTCTCTTAACCACTAAAGTCGCAGATACTGGATGCAATTGGTCCGACGATATATCTTGGATCTGATTTTGAGCGCATTAGAAGTGAAGGTTTTCTCAGTCCTTATCATCCTCGCTATCCAGAAAAGCTTACAAACTCGGCTCATCCAGCGGTAAGCTTGTGACAAATGCGAGTGTACTCTCTTAACTTTTATTCGTTCGGGACAATACAGAGGGCACAGGAGCTGGCCAACATTTATTCTTATCGTGAGTGGGTGCTTTTAGGATACTTAGTTTGCCCCAGCGAACTTTTACGAATAGGTGCAATCGACATTGTGATGGTAAAATGACATCTTGGTTAGAGCACAGTTTATACGATTTTAAATAATTTCTAATAATGCAGGCAGTTCTTAAAAATACGCTAGTGCTTCCATTGTTTCGAGATGAGGTAAAATACAATTTTGTTATATTTTGGTCTTACTTCACTATCGGTCTGAACGCAGTACCTATCTCTACATGAGGAATACCAGCATTCCGTTTTACCCAAGATATCAGAATCAAGAAAACTTGCAAAAGTTGGCCGTGTGAAACAAAAGGACGCGGACGTGGAGTACAACCTTGCTAAACAAGTCGAAAAAACAATCATGTGAGTATGTTTGTGTATCAAAGCATGACACTTACCCAGATGCGTATCTCAAGTGATGCGCACGACGTGGCCATCCTTCAATCAGATGGCATTCACAGAGAGCATCGAGTAACTTTGAAACTTGAACTTAGGAGAATGATCGTGTTTTTTACGGACCAGCCAAGTCTTCTTGCTCCAAATGTCCAGGTACGCTGTTTTAGTTTGTATTTTAGTTTCTGTAAACATGATCTGATACCAGTTGTACTTCGAAGATGGCGTATGCTGCATTAGCTGTGGCTCGAGCAGAAGCACTTTGGTATTTTAGTCACGCGGGCCTCGTAGTCGGAAGGGCCAAAGGAAATCGTGTTATGCCCGTTACTGTTGATCCTTCTGATCATACAATAGGCTATCTTTTAAAAAGCATGGACAAGCTTATTGTGCTTATTCGGAAGTACGCCTCAGGTTCGTCGTTAATGTCTTTACTTGCATGAAAATAAATAAATGTGTTTTGACAGCCATAAGAGCATTTTCGCTGGGACATCTCACCGGCATAGCACAAAGGATGCGATTACTTTTTGAAAGCCCTGGTGCTGTTGCTCTAGATTTTGAAAGTGACTTGCGTAACAGTTTTCTCGCTGTTATGGAACGGTTGGAGACACTGCCTAAACTACAAACTGAGAAGCTCAGGCACAGCAACTTTGATCTATCTGTAGGTTTGTTAATGTGTGAAAAGTCTCGTGATTTCAAACGTTTTTACTACAGGTATTTCGCCAAGACTGGCTAAGGATTATAATGACAGTTTCATCGTCGCGATCTTCAATAAATTTTAGGCACTTGGAGAAGGCCACAATCTCAACTGGAAAAGATAGCATAATAACCGAAGGAAACATGGCTTACGTGTGGTCCAGGTAGCTGTTTGAATTTTTAGTTCTGATTTGCTGACGTCCCGTTCGTCTTGTAGGAGTGTGGATGATATGCAAAAGGTGCTATCTCAACACGGATCCCTGAAAACTTTATGTTTTTACAGAGAACATCTCAACATGGTGAGCTTGAGTATGACTTATATCCTTGACTCTCGTATATTTTCTGCAGGTGTTTCGTCATACTATGTATGGGCCTGAAGGACGACCTCATAACTGCTGCGCCTGGTTGAGCATCGCGAGCACCTTCCCGGAAAATGCCCACTATAGTGTGGCCGATGAAGTGAAACAGATCAGCAATGTTTATATTCTCTAACAGGTATATTTTTGCAGCCTGCAAAGCTTGCGGAGGATGCGATTTCATACGCCGAAACGCTCCTTAACTACATAATGAAAGGATTTGAAGGACTTATCAACCTTCTCGACTCAGAAGAAGGATTCGGACGCCTTGATCAGCAGGTATGTTTCTATTGCTTCGACAGGATTGTAAAATAAAACACATTTTGTCTTACAGCTTCTTCCTGAGCAAGCAGCTTCACGCTTGAACCAGGTAGCAAGAGCTGGATTTTCTTCCAACAAGTCGGTAAGAGTGAGCCTTGATTTACCTGGTTTTGAAAGCAAGCCTTCCAATAAGGAGTCGATGAAACTGTGGGTGTTTCCGTGTTATTACAAACACTGCTTGCTGAATCTATTGTTAAAATCTGCAGGATCGATGCAGCCGTTCAAAGGTTGACTACGTTTTGTTCCGTGATAAACGAGATGGAGCCTGTCCGTGTCGTCAATCATGTATTTGTTCCTAGAGAGGTAAAGAAGGCTTGAAAATAAAAAGTAATGGCATGATCTTGTAACCTTTTATTGCAGTACATGAGGGACCGGATACTCGGCAACTTTCGCTCCCAATTGCT